CAACAACTTCATCAACAGCCGCGGCAAATTAAGTACGCATACAATAACCGCACATTTAAGCTGTGTTGTCAGTCGTCATAAAACCAGCCCTCACTGATACTCATGATACGCGTTTTAGTGGTTGCAGCAGGCTCTCCCTCGTAATAAACAAACATCGCCGTCACGCATCTCTAGAGCCTGCAATGGACGATACTTGCGGTATAGTCTCCCCCAAAACCTGCAGGAAATTTGACACCTAAGCATGATAAGTTTATATCCACACTTATACCCCCGTTGAGAAGCACTGCTACCATTATTTGTTGGTGGCTTGTAACAACTTGGTGCGATTCAACCGCCTTCACCAACGCTGATGATCCGCGTGTCCTCGCACGCAGCCCCAGCACTGCTACCATGGCCTCAGTATGCTAAAAATCGGCCTTATGTTGTAATAGGTTTGGCTTTTGCGGCTGCGATGCTAGCATGCCGTGTGAGTGTTGGGTTTCAAGACATGGCACAATCTTCTGTCATGCATACCTCTTCCGAACTCTTCCAGACATTTCTGGCATGCAGTTCGTACAAATGTTTAACAAAATGTTCAACAAGAAGTACCAAGGTAGTCCACGAGGTTAAATGTCTATCATGAGTGGCTATTTTCCTCTTCTTTTTTCGCTGATGTTCGATATCGATACCAGTTGCTGTCATCCGAGCTCGGTGGAGTCACAGCACGCCTCCAACGAATTCCTCACCCGTGGCCCTCGGGCTTCAGGTGGACGTCAGAGAAAGAATCAAAACTCTTCAGTTCCTCTTGGGAAAAAGAGAAAAAGAAGAAGAAAGCAATAAATCCCTCTCGATGCATCAAACCCTTATTTCGACACTCACATGCTTTTCGTACAGGAAGAATTTATTCAGGCTTCCACCAAAACGTTAAAGTGTAGCCCTAGCGCTTGCAGAGATGCCTGTCCCCAGGTAATGAATGCCCCGTTACCTCAAGCGAAAGTCATATAATTGGGTTCCCCCAATTGCTGGCCGGTTAAACAATACTGTGTTGTGTAACCTATTGGCGCCGTCTGGTTTGTCCTGTCATCCGCTCGTCATCGCATATTCATACGGCCCCGACAACCCCCAGCCCTGTCGACAAATTGTAATGCCTCTTTGGTCACCCAAAAGGCAGAACATCCAACCCATGATGCTGGTTGATGCTGAACAACAATTAGGTGCCCCTTGTTGCCAGAAACAGCAGGCCTGGCACAGACCTCTAGGTCTTGAAACGGATGCTGTTCGCTGAAAGGGTCCCCTGTCTTCTAACCCTGCCCTTCTCGCGGGGAAATGGCATCTGCAGAGGCTGGGTGGCACTGAAACAACAGATGATATTCATGTCTTACCTGGACCGTCTGCCACTGAGCGGGCATTCCTTCGTGCTAGCGGTTGGCATATGAATTGAACACTCTGGGTCAACATTCCATCCCATACTCTGTTACAAAGCACCGCGAGATTGGGCAACAACAAAAACCAAGCTCGCATACTCAGGTCTCCGGATGAAATGCAATTCCTACCCACCACAATCTTCTTTTTTATCTTTTTTTTTTGTGATATGGTGAGAGGATGTGAGGGCATTCTTTGTTCGGAGGCTTACTGTGCTGAAACCTAGAGCTTACTCGACACGTTAATGGAACGGCTACTGTACTTACAGGGAAAGACCGAGGAACCACGGCCTTGAATAAGTTCACCTTGTACTGTTTGCTCTCAACTTAAGAGTTAAAGGGCCGCGAGTTTCAGGCCAAGCTACTCCTAAAATAAACCTGGACCACTTCAACAAGGTTGATTCAGCATCACCTTTTCCCTTTGATTTCTTTCCCTTACTTTTTTCGACGTCTACCCAAGGTAATTCGTGCCAATTAACACTCTTCTGACAGTGCACCTCGGCCAACCGTGCGTTCGACGACAAAATGTGTTGGTGGTAAGCCGGATCGATGGTCCAATTCCATGGAGACATTTCGCGCGTCTTTCCGAGCCATTTTCCAGCCAAGGCAACGCTTCGAATAGCAGGTTAACTTAATGAAGGCTGGCCAATTGGTGGATAAGCCCAACAGCATCAGTCCCTGTGCATGGAGCTACTGTACGGATGCCATGGCCAGTCACTTCCGGATGCAGAGCCCTGGCCCAGCAAGGGAGCGCTTTCTTCCTCCTCCCTCTTTCTGTCTCTTGGGACGGATCCCGGTAGTGGGCACTAAAGAGACAGACAGAACTTGACTTTGCTTCTAGCTTGGGGGAGGAATCGATGAAGGTCAAATTGTCTTGTGCAACATCCTTCCTGCAGGTCTTGGATGGCTGTTGAGTAAGCTCATATCCCGAGATAGCAGTCAGAACGCGCGACGGTCGAGGCTCGGAACTTTTGGACCGTACAAACACATTTACTTACCAAGACAAGTTAGCGAATGTACCGGGTGGGCAGATCTTCCATTGAGACACGGTGCCTGCAACTAAGACAAACGGCGATGGTCGTCAATCTCTTCCTGGTGTGCTCATAACGACGCTCTATTGGAACTGTCGTCGAGTCTGGCTTAGAGCCTGATTCTGACATCTGTCAAACTGCAGATGCAGATCCACACTGGCGCTTCGCGTCCTTGTCACGGACGTATAGTGTGATGCAGCATCTCCCATGCATTTTTGCGGCGCTGAAGAGCGGAAGCTTGACCACACAGTTTCGAACTTCTGAGAAGCCGGAGATATCTGGAATGGAACTGAGCACAACCGATAGGAGAGTGAGGAACGCCTGCCAAACTAGGCTAACGACTCTTGGTGTCACTGGTGTATTGCTCCTCACGGATCGCAATCCTTTGGAACCGAGAATGCAGCAAGCGATGACGAATAATGAGCACATGTTTTCTTAGTGATAGTGCATAATTTGAATTACCAGCCGCGTCGAGAATGAATGGTAGTGGGGGGTCAGCTAGACCGAAAGCGGCCCTCAACAGGAGAAGGGTGTCTGCTTGCACGAAAGGGTGTCCTACAGGAAGACTTCCGATACGGCGGCAAATACCGTCCTACCGTTCACTAAACTGGCCTGCGGGGGCACCGGCTGGTTCTCGGGAAAGCTTGGCGGTAGTGATGGGGAACGATACGACGGCCCATCGATGGCGCTGACATGAGAAACATAATCGACGGGAGCGCCTTACGAGGCTTGCAACAAACATGGCAACCACATGATTATTTGGTGTCTATCACAATATGTTTCATGCCCAACAGCCAGGCTGCTTCAGAATTGTGCCGCTCTAGTCCGAGGTCCCGCACGTACTCGGTTGCCGGAGCAGTTGAATACAGCTGAAAAGCTGGACCAGCGAGAGAGAGGGAGAGAGAGAAAGAATGGGACAACAGTTTGTAACCAACGTGGCTGGCTGAGACCAGCCAACAAGTCAGATTTTGGCATCCGTTTGCGAGCTCCAGGGAGGCGACATGGAAACACTTCCAGGTAAACTTCAGCATGAATTCGGGGACTACTAAAACTGATAAGCTTACCAGACTCAGCATAGACATTTTTCGTCTGGCACTGTTAAGCAATAGGACCACATTTGTGAGTGGACAACAACAAAAACAACAGCCTTCCTTCATGCCTCATTCTCATCTCTTAAGAACCAGACACGGCTACTTCTGAGGTGCGACTGCCTAGATGATGGCATTTGTCAGTCTTTGGCTCGTAAGGTTTAGCATGTGCAGATGTCGGCCAGCACCGGCTCCGTGAGTCTGGGCCCTGCTGCTCGATCATCCGTGATGTGTAGCTCTGGGAATCAGTCAACGATGCTTGCTTGGTGCAAGGCACCACTTTTCTCGCCTGGGGTCGGGGGTAAAGACCATCTGACTTTTACATCCAACCACTCGGGGTCTTCCGCGAGTCTTAAAGTTGGGATTTCCCTGGTTTCTGGGCTCTTCATCTCCACTTAACCCGACACCCACTGGCCCCGACGGAAGCTTTATCTCCTTCATCAAGGCAAGGATTCTCTCGCGCTCTTTGGGTGGTGTGGGAGACCAAGAAGCACCAACTCACGGTGCCCCATCCCCAAGCTCCCTGTTGTCATCAAGCATGCAAGCTGCAGCACACAAAACAGCCTTCGTCCGAAAATCGCCGTAACCCCCGGAACCTAATTTTGGATCATACCTCGAGAGACCCGGCCTTGCGACGCCGAGACAACCGAAACAGACGCGGGCAGGCACTCCCTTGGTTTCTTCTCTTATTGTGCAAACATGCCCCGGCACGGCGCCAAAAGAGCCCCATGCTCTTTGCTTGCGCGTTCCCCACGCCTTTTTTGACTCAGCTGCAACGTAGCGTAGGACGCGGAATGTATGTTTGCTTGTTTTCCTGCAATAGACACGCTACAGTTGGGTTGACTGCAAATCTAACGGCGGCCCCCCGTTGTGGGCTCCCCGGCCCCAACTGACACGGCTACCCTCCAGAGATATCCGGAGCTTCACAGACCCAGGTTGAGAACGAGACGCCCGGTCTCCGTTTGTTTCGGTCCTTCGATGCCGTTTTGATTTCGTCCCTCCGCGCCGGCCTGCTACGCCGGTGAACAATATGTGCCGGGGTAGCCAATTCAACCAACCAAGGTGGCACATGCTGACCACTTCAGCCGCACTTGTACTATACAGCTTTCGGCGCATGTTATGGGGCTACGCCAAGTCATTTATGCCATGGTCGCCAGCCACAGCGAGGGAATCGGGATCTTGCGTGTGTGCTGAGCATATTGTTGGGATGCAGTCAGCTCGGTGGTTGAGCATTGAAAAAAATCTTCCCTTCTCCCTTAGGCTATCCCTCACATTTTCCAACTGCGCGATATCATCCTGATATTTCAGCTTCTATATATCTTACAGCTGGGTTTTTTCCTTTGTTCTATCCCTCTCTTTCTTTTCCCTGACGCTCAATTTGCTATTATCGTTGGGCAAGATCAACCCTGCTCGGCTACGGATATCCTGCGCTTATTGCAGCTCAACAATCCCAACGCCCCTTGAAAGTCTCACCGCCTGGCATGATGGTCGAAGAAGGATATCACGACCTCCAGTCTATAACGGGCCTCTCTGACCCCGTGGACACGACGAAGCCGTACGACCCGTCTTCCCTTTCTTCCAAGACGGTACTTATCACCGGAGGTTCTCTTGGTATCGGCGCCGCCCTTGCCCAGGAGTGGGCTTCCCACGGAGCCAATATTATCATCGGCGACATCAAGGCCGCAGAAGGTGAAGCCCTCATCGCCACCCTTCGCACCAAGCACCCCAAGGGCTCTCACCACTTTCTCACATGCGATGTTACGTCTTGGGACTCGCAGGTTGCATTTTTCAAGGACGCCGCACGCCTGCCCCCCAATGGAGCTATTGATGTTGTCGTCGCCAACGCCGGCATCAACCTCGTCGCCGCGAACCAGGCCTTCGACAACCCCGTCCCGTCCAAATCGGACCCGGACGCACCCCGTGAACCGTCTACAAAGACCATTAATGTCAACATCACGGGTATGAGCTACACCACGCACCTCGGCATGTTCTGGCTCCCGCGTAACGGCAAGAGGGACGACGCCAAAGACACCGCGAAAGACAGGTGTATCCTGCTCCTCGGCTCCGTCGCCGGCGTGGTCCACCTCCCCGGACAGACGCCGTATGCAATGTCCAAGCACGCCGTGACGGGACTATTCCGCGCCATGCGCGCGACGGCGTATATGACGCACCGCGTGCGGCTGAACATGATATGTCCGTACTTCATCAGCGAGAGCAACATGTTCCCCGCTGCGGGCGAGGCCGTCCTGCTCGGGGGCAGCGCAGGCGGCGCCAAGTTCGAGGATGTGGTTGACGCTGCGACGCGGCTTGTCGCCGACGAGAAGGTTATCGGTAGGGCGTTGCTCGTGGGTCCAAAGGTCGCGGATAAGGAGAGGGGGATCGACCAGGAGGTTGCGGCGTGGGATGTGTATGCTCATGATTACAAGGACTGCGAGGCCTTTGTGTGGCGGTGGGTGAGGATTTTGAACACGGTCGAGTCGATGAAGGGTTGGTTTGACTGGGTCAAGGATTGTTTTGGTATTTTGGTCCGGAGGTGAGTGTACGCTTCTGGGAGGGTGTACCAAGGAGTAAAAGGAGGTGGGATCGGCCATGTTTTGCCACTTAATGATAGATAGAGAACTTTGTCACGGATATTATAGAACCAGGAAAAGGTCATGGTCGTGTGTTCTTGGATAGATCCCACTGGGATGCTGCTGGCTCTCAGCCCGGATTCAGTAGTCTTGAGAGAGTTTCTGTAGCCGTACTCATCCTCGCCTTGATGAAGACAAAGGGAGGGTGTGAACTGACAAAGGCGTTGTTGAAGTGCTTGAACAAGTTTCACAGCTCTTGTTCCCTCTTAAATCAAGTACTTCAATGTCATCGCATTCAATGAGAATTCTTCTACGCCTGGCCACGAGGCATGTATACGCACATTGTTGGCCACAGTCCACGTATGATTCCTCCGGTAGCCTGCGCCGACAATTTGAATCTCGCCGCGATGAAGGAAGTGAGTATTTTGCCCATATAATACAATGAAGGTTACGGGAACGAGCCTCCCCGATTCTGTGTTCATGTTGTAGCTCTCGAGGAATTTTTCAATGCTTACAAGCTGGGGCTTTGTGGTAGAATCAGAATGGGGAACCAGAAGAGCAACTAGGACCGCATCTTTTGTCGGCATACTGCTTCCGAATACATACCCCGGTGAGAACTTGAATCTGTTTCCGCAGAGCTTGGCACTTCTTGGCTTGGGTCCGAGACTGAGCAAACACCGTGAACTGAGGATCTACTCTGACTTCGAAGAATGAGTGGATGCAATTAACTCTGTCCCTAGGGCATGTGACGATGATTTCCACAAGAAAAAGCAGGCGAAAGACGCATACGTCTTCATCTACATGGTACTGGACGTAAAATGTTACACTGTAAGCGAGTGTCTGATTCGATCCAGCCCGTCAACTCTAACGGAGGCCTTTCAGCTTGCACTTGGGCACTGGAAGTAGTTCGTGATCTGCATGTATAGAGCCTAAGTGCAGGAAATAACGGACAGTATCCTGCACACATTGTCATTCTATGACCAAGCCCATTTTATAATACCACGGTAGAGTCTAGAAAAGAAAAGGGTTTAGAGTCACGTATCCCCAAGTCCTAGCTAACAGGCTGAAATAGATTGGAAAGAATGGGATACTCAGCTAAGGCCCGATTTCTAAGAGCTTTGAGCTCAGCAACAGGAAAATGCAGCTCTGGATCCTTTTGTTTCGAAGGACAAGTCTTCCGTCACTGTCTGATATTGGACTGTCGTCTTCTCACTCATGTTTGTGCTTTCTAAACAGCTGTATCTGCTATGGACACCGATGAGAGTGTCGTTCTCCAGCTTTGCTTGCAGCAATTTGCAACTCAGTCAGCTCTTTCCACGGCACTGCGATACCAGTTCGAGATCATAGAAAGCAGATTTTCTGGCCAGGACTTGAAGACATTTGAAGACGAAGACGTTCATCATCCTTCCTTGCGGAGTCGTGCAAACCCTAGCGCTCAGTAACAGTGTATTAGCACTCTTACTGAGCTTGGTCGGTTTCCAGATCGGAGCGCACGCGTGGCGCATTCGCCGTGTGCGGTCTTTGCTGCCTGTTTGCTAACATGCCATCCAGTTCTCTCATGGTAGGACGAGAAAAGTAGTGTCCATCATCTGCTTAAGAACGGTCTTTTGACCTCCAGGACCGTGGAACCTTACTCAACGGCAATCCTTAGGTCCTAGAAGTGGTGCTCGGCTCATTTTACGACGACCAGTTCGGTAGTAGTCGGCCCATTCTGCTCCGACAGGAACCCAGCCTCTTTAGACCTATCCCGAGATCTCTTAATGTTACTAGCACCGCTATTATCGATGCTCTTGCTGGAAGTCAAACCCTGGCTTGGCATTAGTCTGAATCCCATAGGAATGAGATGCGTCTGTGACGCCGTGGAACACGGGCTCTGTACACACTGGCGCTCCTCCGCAACTTCGGCACATTGAACTGCCACGAACGGTTGAGATCTGCGGCAAGAATGAGGACTCACGAGAGACGAATTCGAGGCACGTGTTGTCGAGCGGGGTAGGTTGTGACACATCCAGAATAAACGAACGATGGTATCGGAAGCTCGGCATAATCTTCAACTATGTGGTAATGTGCGCGTGAGATGTGTCTGGGAGCAAGGTACAGTAAATGCTACAGTTATTTTGTGACATAGTAGGGTCCCCACTGACTTCTTAATGCTTACTAGACCACTTAGAAAACACTAAAGGGGGTGGGTTGGGAAGTCCCTGAAGCGTTCTGCGGTTGTACTGAGCTCCTTAGTTGGTGACGTTGTAACTCATCCCAATATTATCATAAGGTATGCAGTTACTTGTTCTATAGTATATTACTTAGAGGTAGGCTGCAGCGTACCACAGGTAGCCTCTGATTATTTGCCCAACGCTTGTTGTTCAACCCCGTGGAGATCAGCCCATGGCCTTTGTGTTGTCCCCCTAGAGAATGTCCATGGCTTCCCCGTGGGGTATTTACCCGCCCGATCAGCGGCCGACTACTGGAGCGGGTCGTCTAACTCCTTCCTCTAACTTAACTTGGAGTTTATACTCGAAAGGTCGATGTTATTCTGCAAGGGGGGTAAGTTGTGTTCTCAGGCTCTGCTAAGCCAAGCGCACTAATCAAAATCATCAGAGGACAGTCTCTTCGAGGCAAGGTGGATAACGGTCAGCATGCGCCGTATGCGGGGAAAGTTAGAAGGCATACTACGTAGTATCTGAATCCTTCAACAACCCTCGCCTAAAACGTCCGTTTCATGCTATTGGTAGATTAGAGGGAGGATTCGAACGACTTAGTCGCAAAGAGTATGTCGACAACAAACGAAATACGAAGAACGCAAATACTGTTCGTGGAAAATTAACGAGGATTATTTGCCAGAGGAGATGGTTTGCGCGCCTAAAGCATTTTGACGTCGAAGCAGGTATCGACTCTCAGGTTACTCTAGAATGAGAATAGGACTTTCCTGAATAGTTGAGGATGGAATGAAGATGTCAGGCGAGAAACGAGTTATAAAAGCCTGCCCACTTCCTCAGTTCCCATGCCTCCTTCTTTTGTATCTTCAAAGCACAGGATCACTCTTCCAGCTACTCAATCCATACCTAAGTTGTAAGTAAGCCTGAAAGCCTTGTATATTTAGACCATGGACAAATGATTAACCTCGACACAGCTCCTCTACTCTTCCGAGGTTCCAAACGACACCAAAAAACACAATGCAGTTCACTACCTTTGTCCTGAGCGCGCTGGCAGCTGTTGCCGTGACGGCCTCCCCGGTTGCGAGCCCCGAAGTAGTAGCCCTGTTGGGTGAGGAATTGACGGCACGCCAATCTTGGTGCAACCCATGCAAGAACGGAAAGCACATCTGCTGCATCGCCACCCAATGCAGCTCGTACCCGTGCTAAGGGGTATACTGATGATGGAACAAGACAGAGTGTGGCGGGTTTCTACTCAGCGAGGATATCATGTACTATTGCGTTATGGCTACAATGTCTATAGGCATCCTTTGAGATGCTCTGCCCGGGCGATGGTAGCAGTAGCTTGATAAGACTATAGTATGGTAATCTCAGGTCCACTAAATGATTAGGCCCCGTGGTGAATGACTTGTTCTTAGGGAACTAGTGCCTACTAAATAGTCCATTTTACTACCTTGTTATGTAGACGCAGTGGATATGGTCCCACAGCGACTTGACTTCTTTTGGTGGAAGGATTTTCGTTCTAAGCAGCTCCGTAGGAGCTCCTCCGAGAATAACAAGGAATCGAGGGAAGTAATACGAATTCAGGCAATTTTCTTCAACCAGCTACGCTACATTGTTTTGGCGGGTGACCTCCATACTGTTGGGGAGTCCCATATTGTAGTTTGCATTCTCAGACTGTGGTTTTGCTCTCCAAAAATCCGAAAGAAAATGTCCCATTCAGATTGAACGGAGACCGGGGGACCCAGACCACCTAAACGTTGAACAAAACGCAGGCAAAACTTACATACTCATTCAGTTCCGATGGTAGTAGTAGCGCCTTGAATGCGTGGTATGCGAAGACTGTAGAGACGACATATTTAGTGTTGTTGAAGTGTTGTCGAATTCTCATTGACGTAACAACCGTACATATGCCCCTTTTGTCGCCAGACCACTCGGTGATTGGTTGCCTTCGAGCGGGCTCATAGTTATCCTGTTGGTGGTGAGGACGAAAGGCCCCCGACCGATGGCGCAATAGTTACTATAGGGCGGTTAGTCATATGCCAATAACCAACTACACTCCGCGCATACACTTTAGACACAAAAGCCAATGTGTTTGCTTCTGTTGGTTGTAAGGAAACCCGGTAAATGCGAAATACCACATCATTGACGTTTTTACGGCTGCATCTTTCAAACTTGCACCCTTCCACCTCTGACGGGACCAGTAACACTGCAATCGTGAGTGTGTTGGCAGAACCCTTCCACCAGAAGCGCTCGTGTTCAGGACGCCAATCTCGGCAGGCTTAAGGGATTCTTGCACTATCACGTCGCACTGCATCGATTTCTCTGTTACTACCACGACGGAGATGTATATTTAGCCAAGGGGAGGAAAGAGGAGTTGTGGCGGTAATGAGACAGCCTACGGTGCACTGCAGCATGCGGGCGCGAGGCTGGGTGAGCAGTGAAACGTCAAATTTGACAGGATCAGCAGTGAGATGAATTTCAGACGCTGGACTTAGCAATTTACTGAATATAGGTGCTCATGTGGCTCCAGAAGCCCATGTCTTGTACAACTTGTACAACTTGACAAAGTGACCTAGAATTGAAACTCTGACGATGGCTTATCATCCGCATCAACCTGGTCCGGCGACCAACGCATCTACATGTTGAAATGCGGATTCCAATAAAATTTGACATCGTACTAGATTGGCGCAGATGATTACTAGATGTTACCTTGGTCGTTTCCTTGTCTGACCCTGCCGAAATATGCTTTAAAAAGAAGCTCCAAACCACGCTCTTAGTAGTCTCCTTCTCTCCGACTCTTCAACTCAAGGTTTCTGAAGGGTTAGGAGGTTATAAATCGTGTCCGATTCGCCGGTGTTGACGGAACACATAGCAGAGTTGTTGAAGCCTCCTTGCGAATAAAGTGAGCTTGCTGTAAATATGAGATGAGGTGGCCCCTCCATGGCTCGACGCGCAAGATGCGTGTGGCCGGCCGTTGGGCAAGGGACGGCTATTAAGCAGATGTTTCTGAGAGAGTTGAGCCAGCTTGCGGGAGTAGGATTACAGCTACCGGTAGATCTGGACCAGCATCATTTCCGGACCTGTCATGGCCGATATAAAGGCTCTGGAAGTGCAACCAGTGACCATACAAATAAGCCTCTTTGTTTATATTATCTTACTTGGACTGGTAGCCTGGACCAGAAACGTAATCTTCCGACTCATTCCCCGAACAACAGAGATAGTACAGTCTATAACACAAATGAAATCTGCCATGGGAGTATCAACGTAAACCAGACATGCCGCCCAAACCTTAACGCCAAAGCATAACCAAGCCCACCGAGATGCAAGGAGGTCATTAATCTGACTCCTCTGTGTCGTCCGACTTCTTATCATCCTTATCATCCTTATTACCCTTAATCTTGCCCCAAATCTTGCCAAATTTATCTGCAAGCCAGTCCCAGAGCCCCTTAAGGGCCTCCTTACCTTTCTCAACGGCGTCGTCGTCTGAGCCATTGCTATCCCCGTCTTCTTCACCTGGAGCCGCAGTGCTTGTCGACGATGATTGGGGAGGGTCAACTTGGATAGTATTGTCGGGCTCAGCAGCCTGCGTCGCTGACTGAGCTACCGACGAAGCGACGGTTGGAACAGCGATCTTGGATGCGGGGAGCTGCGAGGTAGTGTATGCAGATACGGGATCTTCAAGTTCCTTCGGGGCGTCCTCGTCCGCATGAGTTCCAATGGGCGAGAGGGGGAGGCGCAAGGTTCCGTTGTTCGGCTCCGGGATGAGACCAACAGAGTCGCAAAGAATGTTGTAGACGTTGATGTTTTCTGTCTTGTGTTAATTCAAACTTGGCAAATTAAGTGATCCGAGGGCAAACTTACGGAAGGCGTCAATCTGACTGTTGGGCGGGTGAGGAAAAGCCGGTCCACGAGCGATGAAAATAGCACGCATCAACGGGTGCTCATGATCATAACCATGCAATCCACGAGGGTTGTACACAGTGCCATCCTTCAGCGCCTTGGCAACATCCATCTCCTCCTTCTTAACAATGGCCCAGCCAGTCTTGGGCACAATCCACAGAGGTGCAATGCGTTTGTTTTTGGAGAAATGGTAGCGCTCGGGCATGTTGACATCGCGGAGGTAAACTTCAAAGTTCGGGTTGGTCTTGGCCTTCTCAGCCAGTCCATCGTAGAGCCCCTGAAGGTCATCAGGGTTCTTGGGCCTGAGACCGTATAGAGGCCAGCCGTCGGTGTGCTCAATCTTGGAGGCGTCAACAAGATCCTCAAGCTGTAGGACTCGTGTAGTGTCAGTGGTGGCCATGCCGTGGTCGGAAACAACAATAACATTGACGATGCCAGTGAGGTTCCGCTGCTCCAAGCCGAGGAACAGCTGGTCCATCATGGCATCGGCTGCCTGGATGGTAGAGCGGATCTCCGTGCTGTTGGGCCCGTATCTGTGGCCGTCTGAATCGACGTTGGGCACGTAGGCGGCAATGAGCTGAGGGCGCATATCCTCTACCTTGGCCGTCTTGTCCTCCATGCCTGGCTTGTCGAGGAACTCCAGAATCCTGCTGACTTTGTTGTCGAGAGCCTCCTTTGCATTGAATCTGTCCAGGAAGGTAGGCTCAATACCCAGAATATGGGCCTCGCTGCCCGGCCACATGTGAATGGCAGATCGAATACCCTGCCTCTCGGCAGTGGCCCAGAATGGCTCGCCATTCCACCACTTCGCATCAAGACTTCGTGCCGGGTCGGTGTAGTAAAACTCGGCCTGCATGTCCGGGTCCCAGAAAGTATTTCCGACGATGCCGTGGCTTTCTGGGTAAAGCCCAGTGGCAAGCGTGTAGTGGTTCGGGAAAGTAACTGAAGGGAACGACGGGAGCATGTACTTTGGTGAAACGCCCTCCTTGACAAAAGCATTGAGTCTCGGCGTCAGTCCACGTTGCAGGAAGTCAGCGCGGAAGCCGTCGAGACTAATGATGATGGTCGTCGGCGCAAATAGGGCGGTGCCGTTGCTGGCAAAGTCTGCCTTGTGCGCTGACTTCCTATTCAGCGACAGCTTCCATGCCACCAGCACCAGGATGGCGAAACCAATCGCAATCATGCTATGGATGAACAGCCACCTGCGCCAGCCCCGTCTCTTATCCAGCTTTGACTTGTCAAGCATCTTCAGTCTTTGTCGGTCGAGCTCGTCGCTGTCCTCTCGTTCGCTGCTCTCGCCGGTTGAGCTACCTTCTTTCATGCCCCCCTCCTCCATCTCGTACATCAGCTCACCGTCCTCCCCATGGATGGCCTGCTCCATGAGGCGCTCCTTTTTCTGCTTCCTCCTTGTACGGCGTTGATGCCTTTTGTCCTTCTCACTAAGGAGATCTTCTGTCGACCCATTGCTAGATCCAGGACGCGCATCGTCGGCGCTGCGGCTGAAAAGCTTCATCGGGTTCGGAACAGCGAGGCCAGATCCTCGGCGTTGGAGATCTTGCTTCTTCTTGCGCGTATCGGTAATGAGCTTGTCGACCTCGTCCTCCTCCATGAATAACATGCTATCGGCAGCGCGCAGCTCCCGGCTGTTACGCGCTCGTTGTTGCAGTTGGTCATCGTCGCTGTCGGTCTCCTGATCGCTTCGGCTGCTGTGCAAGGATGAGGCGTCGTCGTCGTAGCTGGAGGGGGCAAGGAGGCTCGCCGTGTCGCGGCCTCCTCGGGACTGCGTGTTAAAGCCTCGCGTCGGCATTCTTATCGGCGCTGCGTATTGTCGCGATTGCCAAAATGCAAATCGACGTTCTAGGTCATGAACCCAGGAGTGCGACGTGGTTTTTTTGTATGGTTTAAAGACGGAGCCGAATTTCTTCTCTTACAGAGACCCCTGTAATGGATGGATACCACCTGGATGGCACAAGGCTTATCGCGGTGATTAAGATGCTCCATTTCCGCTGCTCAGGGTCCTCTGCGGGCCGCTATCATTGGGTAAGTTAGAGTTGCCCCGCCTTTGTTGCCTGTTTAGGAAATCTTCCCAGTTGGGCCGATCTTATTTGTTCATCCTCTGGCGACTGTACTAGTAGGCCCACCTGTCACCCTCGCAGTTCCTCCCATCTCCCCTCAAGCAACCCCCTCAACGCACCTTAGTATTTATGTTCATTCAAATGCGAGGGCGAAGGCCAACCAGGCATTTTTCTACTCGCCCTGACAGCTCCTAGCGCTTGTGATCTCGTGCTTTGGGTACTCGCCCTCCACGCACCTCAGCCAGCGGGAGGATTGGCGCTAGTACCCCATGAAATCAATAATGGCACACTGCCTCCAATGGCAATCGAGCGAGGTGGCAGACGAACTGATACCCATGTTTGGAAGAAACTCCACATTGGTGATAACGATGCCTGCATTGCATCCATTCTAGATACGATTTGATCCTTGGTGATGAGCGAGGCAGTACGGGGGTGTGTGTGTGTGTCCCAAGTGGAATATGAAGAGGTCTCGATGATACTCGAAAGCATGGTTGATGGTCTTCCTCATTATATTGTGAAGATTGTCTGTAGATGGGGCCTTTGAATACCGCCTTGTATATCTGCCTTGCCATGTTTCTCGTCTTGTCTCTGACCTCTTTCGTTGCTGATTGTCTATCATTGAGTGACAAGGGTTCGCCCAAAGGGGGAAAAGGCTTGTTTCCTTTCCGCGCCACAAACTGAGGCTGCAACGGGTATCACGGGGCCATACCTTGATGCTGATTGGCAGCTTCTATCCAAGAAGCAATATTCTCTAAGCTCACCCTTCTCACTCTGTCTCATACACCCCGCCCTACGATTGCGTTCCCCTGCAAGAAATAATCGTGGAAAGCCCGGAGCTGGTGCATGGCCTTGTCGAGGCCCTCCGGAGGGTTTCTCCCTTATGTTTGGCGGGCATTTCTTTAGCTGTTTCTCTGGAGCCTTGCCTTCGCAGTCCTACTGCTCCCGCTTTCTCCGGTGGTTTTTGGGGCTTCCAGGAAAACGTTATTCACGATGCATTCATCTTGTTAGAGAATCGAGTTCAGTGTGTGTAAGCGTTTGAAGTAGCGCCTGTCTACGCGATATTTCTTTTCTACAACACCTAGTTTGATGCCAAGCCTCGCCGGCATGCTGCGGCACCATGTACAAGAAACCCTCTTTGAACACGGTTGTGTTCCGAACGCCCTCATGGAGTCGCGTCGATGGGAGCCCGACGACTGTCGCTAGCCCTGTTGTTCCATGGAATCCTCGCGACGAGGTCATTCGGCGCTTTTCGGATCCAGCAAAAGAAGATGATGTTCAAAATGCTGGGTCAACTTACGAGTAAGTTGTCTCGCAAACCGTCGTCGATGCTGTCGCAAGTTTCCTTTTTCTACTGCCCCTCCGCCACCGACCCGGCTGGAGGACGGGTTAGATTGATATATGAATAAGCACTACAAAGGAAGGAGTGAACAAGGACATAGAAAAAGCGGAAGATGCGCATGTAAGACCAAACGCACCAGCAGCAACTGATTGGCATTTCTAGTAAGGCTGAGACCGCCTACGCGAAAGCCGTCAAGTCGCTGCAAACTCTCCTCAAGGACGAAGGCGCCACCAACATACTTACGAGTCAAAATGGCAAACAAGAGCTCTGCGATGTCGCCAAGCAGGTCCAAGAGGCGAAAGAGACGACTCTGGACCAGAAGAAGATGCAACGATTCGTCAGATCCCTTGATCACTACCAGGGAGTCTTTGATATTCTGTCTCAAGCGGACTTCTCAGGTCTGCCGCTGATATGGGGTGGACTGAAGTTTATACTACTCGTAAAAGACCCGTCTGTTCATAATCCTGTAGTTACTTACCGGTTCCAGATGTCGAAAAACAGCTCCGAAGCCCTCTCTAAAGTATTCGAAGTGATCATCGATATCGGTCGGAGTTTGGAAAGAATCAGGGCGTATGCTAAATTGTATCCTATACCACGAATGACGGAGTTCACGACCGATCTCTACGAGGCTATTGCAGAGTTCCTGGAAAAAGTTATCAAAGACTCCAAGAAAAGTTCGATAAGTACGTGTGAGACATGCTGATGATGAGACACAAGCTTACAACTTAGCAGAAAGGGCTATGACGGACTTTTTGCAGCCATTCGATGTCAGATACGGCGACCTACTAGCCAAGATGAAGAAAATTCAAGAAGAAATCAAAGAGGATGCTAATGTCTGCCTGCATGTCAGACATGCCATGACGAGCCATTCAATAGCCCGTTATCAAACGGTCCTCCCGTTGCAGAAGCACCAGATGTACCAAGGCTTTAAAGGTCGGTAGCCCGGCATTCCTTCTGGCAGGTATGGACAACTAACACGTACCAGCTATGGCCGAAGATCCATCCGCCTCACTTTTCGCTGCCATTAAAAAGAATCTCTTCCAAGGATTTGAGCTCGAGGCGGGGTACCACCAGGAGCTGGAATCCACGTACAAGACGACAACCTCAAAGGCGTGGGTGGAATGGTTTAAAATGGAGCAAAGATATGTGCCATCGGGCTACTCGCACGAGACGAAGGTGATACAGGCAGAATGCGACGCCCCGGATCCTCAGCATGCCCTGATCTGGAAGAAGCAACAGCGGACTCTCGCGTCCAACGTCCCTTCTGCCTATCTTATCTGGACCCGTGGCATGACAGCGCAGTCTGCCATAGCCTCACTTATTGACCAAATACTCTTCCAAAAGACCGAGGTGATGGTCGAAGCCGGTTTGGACTTGGAGCAATTCAGGGAGGCTAATAACTCGCCCCGCGCGCTTTGGAACTTTTTCCTATATCTAACCACCGTACTCGGTGGTTGCATGGTATACATAACTATAGGATCGGTGGGCGATGAGGAGGCGGCCATCGTCGGGAAATTCGTTTCCATGGCGAAGACTTGGAAGGGACCGGCGATAAATGTCACGCTTATTCACCCGTTCAGCGACGAGTTTGCCAGAACGGACGACGTTATCAACCTGGACGACAAGTACGACGTGCATCCGTCACTGACGACCACAGATGCCATGCATCATGTTCTGGTGTTAGAACTTCAAGATCGCAAAAAGGTTTCAAATACCATTCAGGACCTCCTCTGGGAAACGGTATGGCGAGAGGTTCGGTATGCCGTAATTGGCATCGCTCTCGCCCAACTAATAGAGAGCATTCACCACGCTGCCAAGGCAGTTGCCGAGAAAGCCAAAGACACAAAGAAGGAGACGAGTAATCAGGAAGAGAACAAGGAATCAAAGCGACAGATTACCAAGAAGCCCTTCTCCGACGTGGATGCTAAGCACTGGGTCGCCGCGATTTCAAAGTGGACCGGAAATGAATGGTCTATGAACACGTTACGAGAACAGATCCAGCGACATATCGACATCGTCGACATCCACCTGCCACCCGATATCAAAAGTCGACTGAAGAAGAGGCTTCAGAGGCTCGTGTTCATGCAAGAGAAAGAACTGGGATCCCGCCAGTTGACCGAGGCCCAGCGGGCGGCCATCTGGGAAGACCTGCAAGATGCCATTCGGCCAGGAACCAGCGAGATGTTTTGCAGTCAAATAGAAACGTTGCTGGCTGCTGTTCTCGAAGAATACTGGGAGGAAAGTCCTGAAGGGGAGGGCCAAGCAAAGACTCTATTTGTTTATCTCGTAAAGACGTATTTTGGGAAGAGTGGTCGGTGGAAGGATACCTTTTCTGACGATAAGGAATTAGTGGCGGGTGGTATCACGACAGCGATTGAGATCGGGTTCCAGGATTTGATAGAGGCTCTAGCCTCGCAGGAAGATTCGACATGAGGTGAACATCATAATGAAATACTAACGAGTTATATGTCAGTAGATATAAACATATCATGAATCCTGCCGCTGATGCTTGTCTTATTTTGTCTCTCTGTTTAGCTATGGGACAGCTATTGAACCCCAACTCAAAGAGGCCTTGGACCTTTTGTACGAGTTGCCGATAAGGTTTGGTCCGCATTATTGGTTCCTTCGACTGAGTCGGTTGTAACATTCAAAATCCCCCATCATTGTCGGCTTTACATTTTCCGTTGTTCGTACTTGTACTTGTTGGCAATTTAGACCCTCTGTACATTCGTTCTGGTAATATTTGTTTTTCATATTTTGGTCGATTTTGTTTTCGAAGTGCATTATATTTATCAAAAGTAGCTCAGCAACAAGTCCTGTTGATATGATCTTTGTACCAAGCCATGAAGACGAAGCTCTAATGCAACGGTTTCTAGTAGAGTTTAAATCCTACCCATAACTAAGACCGTCGAAAACATAATGAGGATATCATCGGGCGGTTTATTCCGCTGTGATGCCCTGGAGCGGCTGACCACAAGCTATTGATTTCAACTTGCCTACTTCAGCAAGACCCTGGCCCAGCTCCAAAGATGTGGTGTGGCCATGCCTGTCCCCCGACAGCGCTCAAAGCAAGCCACATCTCTGCAACGAATAGGAGGTTGAGCTGGCTTTCTCAGCTCAGTCGGCACCCCGTGGGACAGATTTCCCGCAGTCGCATTGGGTTCTCATGAAGGTGGGAGGAAGTGGAAACCATGGTTGGGAGAAGGGCGTGGGCCTAGCATACCCCAGCTCCAGCGCTCTGGTATAGTGGGGTGTTTGGCCCCTAACCCCGCTGTGGAAGGTCCTTCGAGCCTTTACAAAGCCCGCCAGACTGCCCGCGAGTCTGCCAACCATCCATGAGCTCAGGTTGACTTCAGCGCGCAGCCTCATCACACCCGCCTTAGCGACGACCGATTTACAACGGTTCCCCGTGAGATTCAAATACTTGAGGCCACAAAAAGATCTTGCATGCCCCGATAGTTATCGTTCTAACTAGACAACATCGTTGCAAAGTTGTTACGACCTCGAAAACGCTTGATACGAACAGCCTCTTGCGCCAAGTCAACTATATTAGTCAACTCCCGTCATCGATCTCATACATCCCTAAAAGATGGCTGACCTTATCACAACTCGACCCAAGTCGGAGAAGAATGTCAAATTTGCTTCTGCAACTCCCGCGCAGCGTGAGGCCGCATGGCGCCTGAATGGCGTCTCATGGGCTCCTCCCATGTCCATCGAGGCTTACATCGCGCGTGAGACGGCACTCTCCAAGACGGAGCTCTCAGCAAACTGTAACTACTATGTCCTTTTTGACCCGGCTGAACCTGAGCACATCATCTCCTCCTGCGAGGCAACTGCGAAGACTCTCTTCGTTCGCGAAGCCTCCTCTTCGGCAGTTAGAGAGGAGAAGGCCTACGCCATCGCTTCCGTGTACACCAACCCGTCCCACCGCGGTCACGGCATGGCTACGCTCCTCTTGACCCGCTTGAAGGAGGCCATGGACGCTGACTCCAAGGCGAGCGCACTATACAGCGACATCGGGACAGTATACTACGCTCAGATGGGCTGGGCCGTGTATCCATCCCTCCAGGTTTCGCTGATCCTCGATGATACATCGGTCGTGCAACCTACGCCACCGGAGGGTGTCCGTTACCTCTCCGCGGACGAGGTCCCCGCTCTCTGCGAGAAGGATACGGAGTCTTTGAGGAAGAAGCTTGAGAGCCTGCCGGACGACGGCAAGACCCACGTCGCATTTGCGCCCTCAGCCGCGCAGGCCTTGTGGCACTTCACCCGTGACGGCTTCATGGCTAAGGAACTTGTCGGCCGCGAGGTGGTGAACCGCGGAGCTATCACGGCCGATGGCAAAGCGTGGGTGTACTGGGACCACGACTTCCGCGAGAAGAAGCTCAAGGTCCTCCGTGTGGCGGGTGATCCCGAGGCTGACGTTACTGCGCTGCTGCATGCTGCAGTGCTTGAGGCCTCAGATTGGGGTTTGGCCAAGGTGTTGGTGTGGAACCCGGATGAGGGCGTCTCGGCGTCGGCTAAGACGGTGAGCGATCGGACTGATGGCGCCGTCAGAGTGGTTTTTGACGAGAGACTTGATGGAAGTATACCAAGCTTGCGTTGGAAGGGCCAAGGAGAGGCTGTGTGGGAGGACAATGAATACTATGCATGGTGCTAGAATGGGTCTTAGATGTAGCTTGACGAATAGACGACAACGATATCCCAGTTATTTTCTGGTTATGAATGTTTTTCACACGGATTTTAGCAGCAATAGCTCACGGTCAAAAAGGTCAACCTCGCACGAATTGGAAGATACCGCGGGAGGAGGTAGTAGCCATCTGAAGCTCACCACCGATGAGAACCTTTGTCGGCTATGATGCCCTTGCGCTCGATATACAGATGCTAAAGAGCTCAAATAAAGAGCCTCGATCTAATGTGCCGTATTCACTGCTGAAGAGGATTCCATGGTCTTCTACGACTTTAGACGAGCCGAGGTAAACTGAAAATATTCTGGTCATTTCTGTCACGTGTATAATTCTCGATCGACTCGGCAAGAGGCACAAGGGGAAAGGCTCGTGTGTCGTTTGTATAAAATCGACGAAGCCCTCGTTCGGCCAACTCGAACATGAACGGTAAGATCGCCTTGCAAACTAGAGGCAGGATTGTTGCAGAGAGCAAGCTTTCTTTTGGAAGTTGGCTCCATTAGGCCGTTACCCTTCGGGACAGGAGATTTTCAAGTCAATTACCTGGCTAAATAATCTGTCAGCCAGGGGCGATCTCTATTATCAGGGTCAAGCAGCTGGAAACATACAGGCAAGAATGCCTTTCAATCTTGATGTAGTGAGCTCGATAGAGGTTGTTGTAAGTTTTGGCTAGCTCCGAGGGCAGGAGACGGTCGCCAGGCCAAGTCTTGGCCTAACCAAGTGACACAATAGAGACCGTCCACCTCAGAGTGGGGCCGCACACGACGCCACTTCATCCAAGTGCCTGGACTGATTGAGTTGTAAACAATGGCAGGTGTCAATTTTCCCGTAGTGTAAAAGCACCCAGCAAAATAAAGTCAGGAAAAACGAAGCTTGCGGTAACTTTGACTTGCAGATCACGTGGTTAAGCTGATGTCTCAGACGCTTATCTTATCGATAACCTTTTTTGCCCCTCACTTCCCTTTGGTCCCGTAGTATCCATAGCAAAGCAGGAGGAAGGCAACGGTATGCATCTTGGGTTGGTTGGACAATCTTGCAGCAAGGTTAGAAAAATCGCCTCCTCCCATCTCGTTATGTGTTTTTTGCTATTTAGTTTAGACATATGGACACTATGGAAAGACCGGCGCCATGGCAACGTGCATCATGTAATGCTACCGCCCCTCTTGGGTAAAAAAAAATATTGCCCTTGTTGGCGGCGCAGGCGCTTAATGTGCTGCACGTCACCCTGGATCTTGTCGCCACCCTGGTCCGCTCCTTTGCGAGCACGATCAGAAATTTTTGTCTTTCTATTGTTTTTTTTCCTCTCTCAAGCTCGAATAACCCCGCATTAGCCGGTGCCCGTCTGCCGTCCAACAGCCACACTTTTGGACTGATGCGTCTTCGGTGTGAGCCAGGGGGTTTGGTTGCCGTGCGGTCATAAGAGGCCTGGGCTTGCCTCCCTTGCCGATTATCGTTGCCACAAGCATTTGCGCTTTCGACGGATGATCATAAGAAGATGTGTGTGTGTGTGTTCACACAGAATTTACACTATGTTGGAGGAGAAGACAGCGACAGGGGCTGAGGCACAGACGAGACCAGCGGCAAGGACAGGCCTCACGGAGGAGCCTTGGTTCATGGGAGGATAGACCATGGTCTCATTGCACTATGCTGCAGACTGTAGCCGTGCCAGAGTGCCAGATACGTGACTCATGCCGGAAGAAGGGTTGGGCTCAGACCTGGGACGCACTGGGGTTCCAGGTTGGGCTGCGCGGCAACCTTGCTGACTGACAGGGGTGAGGAGGGGTGGAGGGGCAGAATGAAAGCCATGAGAGCCTTATCGCCGGAGAAGTATATCCAAGTCCCTCGCCCGTAGCCACTGGCATTCGGGACAAAGCACGAGAATTTTTTTCCCATGTGTGTTGTCTGGACTGCCGCTGGCGCCTGCGACCGAAAGGGGAGGTGAGCACCACGGCCAGGCAGGCTGCAAGTTGAGACGGGCCCCGAGCGAGGTGAAGTGAGGTGAGGTGGCCAAACTCGACAACGCAGGCGGCCCCAGTAGCCCCTCCTTGCCGCCGTAAGAAGAACCTAAGATGACACGGGCAATTAGCTCCCGCTTGGAAAATTCATTGCGATGGAGAGAGCTGATAATTCTGCTGAGCCAGCAAATTGACATCACCTAGATCTGCGGCCAAAAGTCTGGAGCTCTCAGAGTGGGGTGGGAGGTGAGGCCATGAGAGCTGCTGGCGGCATGCTACTGTGTACCTACCCGTTTGCGAGGTGTTGCCCCGCGAACAGCATAACGAAGAAATGCCCCTCCATTTTTTTTTTTCTGTGCCCCTCGTTTCTGATATCATGGCACGGCCCCTTGACAGCTTGACATGTCACCTATATATGGTCACCATTGGCGTAGTTTGACGAATCTAAAAAATTACCAATGGAAAAAAAAAAACAGCATCAATAGTGATAATCAATGAAACCACTCTACAAGGCAGGTACCAATACCGCTCTTTTGCGATGAACAGTTTGTAGAGGAGTAGAGGGGGTCGCTTGGTGGGGTCGAGTGGCGGGGAGGTACACGACGAGACATGGAGCTACCAGGCTGTTACTGTGCAGAGGTACTTGCCAACTTCTCAGATTTTGACACGTCTCGGCCAATCAAAGCCCACAATCTCGTCCGAAAAAAAATAATAAAAATCGCTGGCGTGTGGTATAATTCTAGGGCATTCACCTGGAAGCAGCCTAGACCCACTAAATCGACCGCCCCGCCGCAGCAGAATTTGCGTACTTACCCCTCCTCGAAAAGTCTGAGGTCCCATCCCCCACCACCACCACAATCCATCAACAATCGTACTTAAGCCCTTCACACCCCTCCGAATTTCTCTCGACTTCTTCCTTTCCTCTCCCCGTCAGCGCATACCGGTGATTTTTTGCATCCCATCTGCCAAGTAATACCACCTCTCCCCTCATCAAGATTTCATCAAGACTGACAGCTTTCTCATCAACAGATCCCAACTTCATTACCTTTTAACTTCGTATTCCGATAATCCGCCAAAATGGGTAAGGAGGACAAGACTCACATCAACGTCGTCGTTATCGGCCACGTCGACTCTGGCAAGTCGACCACCACTGGTCACTTGATCTACCAGTGCGGTGGTATCGACAAGCGTACCATCGAGAAGTTCGAGAAGGAGGCCGCCGAGTTGGTATGATTTCACCTCATCGATGTTACCAAAACTGGTGCTAATAAATTCTACAGGGCAAGGGTTCCTTCAAGTACGCCTGGGTTCTTGACAAGCTCAAGGCCGAGCGTGAGCGTGGTATCACCATCGACATTGCCCTCTGGAAGTTCGAGACTCCCAAGTACTATGTCACCGTCATTGGTAAGTTTAACCTCATCTATCGCACAGAATTTAGCCCCAAGATTTTTGTGTGTGTGTGAAAAATTTTCCGTGTGACAAGCACTAACAGACACCAGACGCTCCCGGTCACCGTGACTTCATCAAGAACATGATCACTGGTACTTCCCAGGCCGACTGCGCTATCCTCATTATCGCTGCCGGTACTGGTGAGTTCGAGGCTGGTATCTCCAAGGATGGCCAGACCCGTGAGCACGCTCTGCTCGCCTACACCCTCGGTGTCAAGCAGCTCATCGTTGCCATCAACAAGATGGACACCACCAAGTGGTCTGAGGACCGTTACCAGGAGATCATCAAGGAGACCTCCAACTTCATCAAGAAGGTCGGCTACAACCCCAAGACCGTCGCCTTCGTCCCCATCTCCGGTTTCCACGGTGACAACATGCTGGCCCCCACCACCAACGCTTCTTGGTACAAGGGCTGGGAGAAGGAGGGCAAGGGTGGCAAGGTCACCGGCAAGACCCTTCTTGAGGCCATTGACTCCATTGAGCCCCCCAAGCGTCCCACCGACAAGCCCCTCCGTCTTCCCCTCCAGGATGTCTACAAGATCGGTGGTATCGGCACTGTGCCCGTCGGCCGTATCGAGACTGGTGTCCTCAAGCCCGGTATGGTCGTTACCTTCGCCCCTGCCAACGTCACCACTGAAGTCAAGTCCGTCGAGATGCACCACGAGCAGCTCTCTGAGGGTGTCCCCGGTGACAACGTTGGTTTCAACGTGAAGAACGTCTCCGTCAAGGACATTCGCCGTGGTAACGTTGCCGGTGACTCCAAGAACGACCCCCCTGCTGGCGCTGCTTCCTTCAACGCCCAGGTTATCGTCCTTAACCACCCCGGTCAGGTCGGTGCTGGCTACGCCCCCGTTCTTGACTGCCACACTGCCCACATTGCCTGCAAGTTCTCCGAGATCCTCGAGAAGATTGACAGACGTACCGGCAAGTCCGTTGAGAACAACCCCAAGTTCATCAAGTCTGGTGACGCCGCCATCGTCAAGATGGTTCCCTCCAAGCCCATGTGCGTTGAGGCTTTCACCGACTACCCCCCTCTGGGCCGTTTCGCCGTCCGTGACATGCGTCAGACCGTCGCCGTCGGTGTCATCAAGTCCGTCGACAAGTCTGCTGGCGGTTCCGGCAAGGTCACCAAGTCCGCTGCCAAGGCTGCTAAGAAATAAGCGACTTAACTCACCAGGGTTGGGTTTTGAGTACGCCCGTGGCACACCCGCCATGGATACTCACTTCTATGGCTTTACGAATTCCCTTTGCGTGGCATGAGGACACATGATATGGCTCGGAGCACGAACATTGGGAGGAAGGATGGACAGGATGATTCTACGTCAAAAACTTCTCACGATACGTGCTTGAAAGCACTAAAAATAGAGTCCTAGAAGTGATTCCCCAGTTAAATCTTTGGTTCCCGTTCATGTGATGTTTCTCGTGATACTTTTGTCAGTTTGTTGGTTGAAATGCGTAACTCGTTGTCCTGTTGCCCGTGTCATTAAAATCCCACTAATTTTGTCTCACGTGTCTCAACCAGTATTTGTATGCCACTGCTCAGCCTCGTTGCTGCTGAATCTGTAGGCATCCTTGTGAATGGCTAGGTATACGTACTTGCTGCCCCGCTCCCCCAACGTCCTCGCCTGTGGTGAATTCAACGCAAGCCATACATGCATCTCATTATATTTGATCCTCACCTGGCTTCCTATTGTTCTCAATTGGTCTCCTTGACATGTATCGTAAAGCGTTGCTGATTGAGCATATCTCTTATATATTTAGTATATTTTACAGTTGATATACAGCATTCCGCCACTTTGTATCTTACAGTCCGCCCCTCCCCTTCGGCTTCTCCTTCTCATTATCCATCGTTAGTAGGCGCTGCTTTTACATCTTGCTCCTGTACTCCATTCGCCACCTCTGTCTTAGCATCTTGTTCCTTGGCGGGGAACAGCAGTGATTCAAAGAGCTCAGATATGCGAGGCTCCTGATTTCCTTCCAAGCCGGCTTCCTCCGCCGCGGCCTTTTCCACCACCTTGTCTTTTCCTACATGCTCTGCCGCTGGGTTCCTCTCTCCAACCCACTTGACAACCTCTCCTTGAGCCAAATCCTGGACCAGAGCCAGGTATTTTTGCATGTATGTTTCCTGATCCTTCTCAGACAATGAACCGTCTACAGGCGTGGCTTCTAGAACCATCTCCGCGCGTCGACCACCATGATGACCTGCCTGGATACTCGTGTACTGAAGTCTATGCCCCTCATATTCAACGTCCAGTGTGCGTCGCATCTCCAGGCCTACGAACATATACTTTGCCGGCTTGGAAATTGATTTGCCGTTACTTGTGGAGGGAAGTTCGGAAAGTGTGATTTCGGAGGGAGGGCCAAGACGGCCTGCCAGGAGATCTAGCTTTGCTGCCTCGATATACTCGCGGAATGGAGAGGTATCAAGAGCGGGCGGGGACATGGTCGTCAGTGCGGGCTGGGAGAGGCGAAGGTCGATTGGCTGGGAAGGATACGCGATGTCGGTAAAGTTTTGGTCCAGCACTGCGACGAGACGCTTGGGGCATGCGTCCCAAGAAAGGGGACCTTCAGGAAGGTCTTCGGGTACGGTGAGATGAAGCTCGAGAAGTTGGGGGAGATTACGGGTTACTTTCTTATCCTCAGAAGGATGAGGACGGAAGCTGAGAATGAGGGAAGTCGTGACTGGCTTGGACGAGGTGACAGCTTTGGACAAGGAGGCAAGATTGGCAGGAGGCGGAGAGGTAGGCGAGAAAATGTGGTTTGTGCTCTTCGCGGCTGCGACAAGACTGAAATTGTCACCGCCCTTATGAAGAACGTGTCCGAAGCTGGCAAATATCGGGCTGTAAGGCTTGCTCCAGGGCCCATCCAAGTCTTGTGGTAGTGCTTGAAGTGGTCGCGATAGAACATCTTTGCTATCGAGGTTAACTTCAGGCTGTAAAGATCCGACACGGCCTGTTGGTTTCACCCAACGAGACCATTGCGTGAGTTTATCTTTCCATGAGAGTTTCTCGCGTCCTCGGACTTCGGGGACGAGTCTGCCATCATTGTCTTCGGGGTATTTGAGGTTGATAGAAGCGTCCCTGGGGTGAAGAGCGGTGTAAAGGAGGCGCTGGACAACGTTGTCCTGAGGTTCTTGGCCTTCCTCGGCAGTCGCGTCCTTGAACCATGAGACATTGATCTGATGTACTGTTAGATGAGAAGACATGCTATGCCAAAAATGAACACTTGCCTTCGCGTTGGCCTTGTTGTAAGTAATGAATGTATTGGTGTGTTGGCCCAAGTGCTCCAAGAGCGCAGCGTCAGCGCCGTTGCTGGTGATCCACCCAGCTTCGAATTCTTTGACAACGATGTCCTGAGCAGCCTCGTCGAGCTTCTTTAAAATCGTCTCCGTCTTGGCCTTGGATGCGAGAATTCTCACGCGCGATCTAGAGATCTGTATCTTCTCGCCCGCATCGAGGTAGGTTTGTCTAATGGAGGCAAGTCTCTTATCGTCTCCTATGTCTTGTCAGTCCATGCCTAAACCTTACTCATAGGATCTCTTGTCACTAACTTGCCAACAGGGCCAGTAATCTTTCCTTCACCTTGGCAGCAAAGACGCCCTTGCCATCAACCATCTCCCTGATCTTAAGTTGCCAGGCTTCCTTCAACAGAGTGATGCACATCCTCTCCTTGGGTGACCCGACAACCTCGATCTTTTGCAATGGGGTCCATGGCCACTGTGCTTCGAGCCAACTGTATTCCGCCTCTTTCTGCTGAGGCATCTTCAAAGCCGTCGAGCTTGCGGCGATCAAATAGGTCCTCAGTTGTGCAATGGTGAAACCATTGGCCAGCACCTCCAGCAGTTCGTCAAATTGGTGCTGGTAGAGGATAGGGTCGCTGGGACGCAACTCATCAATATTGCCAAGTGCCTCCTCCATGCTAAGATCCTTCTCCTCGGCTTCAAGTCTCGATGCGATATCAAGCTGCTCAGGAGGAAGAAGCTCCTCAATGGGTAGTTGGGTGATGCTTTTCTGGTTTCTCGAATCGCGCATGACGATAGTCCTTGCCTTCTCGCCGAGCATGCTGACATCGAGGTGCTCACGCTCGAGATACACCTGGCGGTTGCCTATACGCTTGTGGTCGCGACGCTCCCTAGAATTGTACTTTTTGAACAGTAGAGGACTGTCTTTCTTCGGTGTCGCCTCTGTAGAAGCCTCAGACTCGGTCTCGTTATGCTTGGTCGGCACGGCATCTTCTTCCACTGTCGTGGTGTGATTTGAAGGGGGCCCGGCTGGCTTTGAAGCTGGTTCATCTTTAAACGAAAAGCTGCTGGTAGATTTCCTCTCTCGAATAGTTTCGGCCTTCTGCTCTTTTGAATTTGCCTCAAGTCGGTCCCAGGCGGATTCAGAACTGTATTGCCTTCGCTGGAGGAACTCGGATCGAAAAGGGGGTGTTCGGAGAGAGCTGAGAGCCCTGGGCCGGTCGAGGAGTCGCAATTGACATCGCAGACAAACACTTCGAGCAAGTGCTGCTCGAGAAATCATTTGAAAAGAAGAGGAACACTAGACAGTTCTGGTACAATCATGCAAGTCTGTTGCGATCATAGAAGCATTGTTAAGGCGAAGCTCCCAAATTTTGCGACAAGCTTCAGAGATAAGATAAGAGATTAGATAAGAAATCGCGAAGTAAAGTGCCACCCACCAGTCGCGTCGCGTAGATCTGATTGTATGGCCATCGCGCAAGCAAACTTTACGAAACGAAAAGTAGAAGTGGCATTATATGTTCAACGGCCCTTCTAACTTGTGGGATAAATAGTTATATTTCTTTCTTTGAGAGCCTTCTTCTTATTAGGCAAACCCTTGTAAACGCTACCATGCCTCCCTCGAACCGTCGCAGAAGACCGGTATGCCCCGCGACAGCCTCGGCAGCAAGATCCACGACTGATAGCCACTAGATCGAGGATGATGAATCAGAAGAAGAAGTGCCTCATCGTAGACAGCGCCGTAGCCCTGAAGATTCTGAAGACGCCGATGAACATGGAGACGAGAATAGTGCAATGGACGTCGAGACCAGCGCAGAAGATCAACTTGCGAAAAAGTTGGTACGCTATGCCCTCGCCTGCGAATTCTCTCGGACACCTATCCGCCGAGATGGTATCAAAGAGAGAGGTGATGTTTCATGCTCCAATTCCCTGGGCCACAACTGACAAGTTCCTTCAGTTCTCGGTGAGCAAGGGAGAGCTTTTAGGAAAGTCTTCGATTTGGCGCAACAGCAGCTTCGGACAGTCTGGGGCATGGAGCTGCGTGAACTAGCGGTTAAGGAAAAATATACAATGGCGGAAAAGCGTCAGGGTAGGTGTTGGAAACATCCTTGATAGTATCGTGAGGATCACTAATACGATGCAGCATTAAAGTCAGGCTCTCAGGCAAAAACTAGCTCCGGCGTTTTCGTACTCTCCACGACGCTCCCCACGCAGTACCGCTCCTCTATAATCCTCGCTCCTTCGAAAGCACCTAGTGCCGAGTCCGAAGCTGCCTATGTTGGGTTTTATTCTATGATCATATCCATAATCATGCTCAGTGGTGGCGAGTTATCCGAGCAGAAGCTCCGGCGATACCTCAACCGGGTTAACGCCGAGACTAACGTAGCCGCCGAAAAGACGGAGGACATTTTGAAGCGCATGCAAACGCAGGGCTATGTCGTCCGTAAAGTGCAAAAGAACTCGGCGACACAGGCACAAGACGGCAGCGAAGATATCACGTGGTTGGTGGGACCGCGCGGCCAAGAAGAGGTGGGCATCGATGGCGTAGCGGGCATGGTGCGCATGGTGTATGGCGAGCAAGCAGATGACGCTTTGGAAAAGAAGATTGGGGCGAGTCTGGGGATCCGACCGGCTGAGGACGAGGATGGTGATGCGGATATGTCGCAGGCTCCAGAGGCTGGGCCATCGCATTGACATGGAGTGAAGGGGGTCGAATGTGCTGATAGGGCGTAATTGGCGTTAGATCTGCCAGAGTTTTGCTGCAATGGATACCCGGGAGCAAGCAGTAGACCAGCTTATGCATGTATGAACTGCCCTTGTTGGCAATGAATTATCAAGGGTATCTATGCCCTCCTTTATGACCCCAAAACAAACCCCCAACGCCGGTGCCTAAACCTGTTTGGCCTCCAGATGTTCCATTGTCACCATCTCAGACGCTAATCCTCGCGTACCGGCGGCGGGCCAGCAGGTTGCATCATTTTCTAGAAGCAGGTTAGCGAAAATTCCCTTGACGTAAGGCGTGGTAATCGCAGTGCAGACAGACCCGGATCAGCCTCGCTCTGAGAAGATGCGTGGGCTCATTTTCCGCCAAAGCCATATAAGAGAGCATCGGGGGGTGGCCGGCAATGGATGAGTATGTGTCGCGGTAAATGTTGGTCTTCCACTCCCAACTTGTCGTGTCGGGGTGCCCAGTGCCAACATACTTGGCCTGCAGGCGTTCGAGTTCTTGCTGAGTGCGGAGTTTGTCGGCCTATCAAATTCATCATTAGAATTAAAAATCTCCATAGAAGGGATCTCAACTTGCCATTTTGTCAATGGTTGCTGTATGACAAATCTATGCTGTTGTCACAATGTTTTGGGGGTCAGAATCTTGAACAGATGAAAGGCGCTGACCGGGCATGGGATGCGCCGGCTAAACTTCGGCAGAGCTTCACCGAACCATGGGGTGCTGTACGTACCTCGTCTTGGTGGATCCTTTTCCTTGACCACAGACCTCTTGCACTCAGTTTGGCTTTAACAACTCTTGAATGTCAGTTGACATATCGATTCACAGCATATTGAATACCCTCAGCTGTTACATCGCTTGTGGATTTATTTGTATCAGAACCTATCGATAATCAGGGGATCAGTCAGAAGCATTAGTATCAATCACTTCACAGCCCTACCGTCGCCCCGTCAACAACACTCACCATGAGCAAGCAAAAGTCGTTGCAGGATAAACGGAGGAGGCAGCAAAAAGAAGCCGAGTCAATCGAAAAGATCAAAAGTAAATGTGCCCAGGACCATGGAAAGCCTCACGTTGCGCATTGTAAAGAATGCTACGGTGAGGTTGTGGAGACGATGAGAAGCAGATACATTGATTCCAAGGATGAGTGGTTCTCAAACAATGCCGCCTTCTTGAGCGACCTCGACGGTCTTTTCACTAAGCTCAAAGACTTTACGGAAGACCTCAAAGCCATCGAAGCCCGAATCGACCAAGAAAAGGCAAAGCATTACCGTGAAACCCTGCCAAAGACAGCGGCAGGGCGTGCTGCTGAGGCTTCAATGGGCAAGGAGAACTTCCAAGCCGCGTTAGAAGACCCGGAGAAGCCTATAGCTGTTCTCATAGAGGATATCCGCAAGGCTGTCAACAAGGGTGTCGATAACCCGCCAAAATTAGATGACATAGCCCCGAAGTTTGACGACTTAACCAAAGAGAAAGAAGCCGACATTCTCATAGATGTCTTCTTTCGGGACCCGAAGACGGGTGAGATCCCGGAATCATGCAAAAAATACGTCGAGAAGCTGCAGTCTGGTGCTGCTATTGAAGACGTAATGGCCGCCATGGATGCCGACAGACCGGCTAGATCGCAGGCTGCGGGCAACACGGACAGGCACAAGCGGACGCTTAATGAGCTTAAGAGGGCGCAGGCGGCACATGAGCAGGATAAGATTCTGAAAGCTCAGAAGCGACAGCAACCTCCTCCTCAAGGTCCGCAGGTCAATAAAGAGCTATACGATCTCCCACCATGTAACGTTTGCTCGGGCAAGGTATCGCCAGAGAACGTCATCGCATGTCCGGCTTGCTTGATCTTTGCCGAATTGAGCCTTACTAAGAGGACGGTTTTCGATTCGGACAAATGCTACGAGGAGGGATATGTAAGTTGCATTGCATAACCTACACGGCACGACTGACTGACAAACGAATAGGACGAACACGTTAACAACGCGCACAGTTGTGCTGCTGGTGAGGGCTGTATCCAGCTGAAGGACGAGGATGAAGATATGGGCGGCCACGGAGAGGGACCTGTCATCTGCGAGGAGTGCGCAGAGCAGCTGGGCCAAAGCACAGTATACTGTTCATCGCAATGTGCAAGCTCAGATTTCCAAGCGCATCGTGAGGGAGTACATATTCCCAACTGGAAGGGCCTCGGGATCGACCTCGACACACAAAGCGAGCACCTGATCTACGACAACGATGAGAAGACAAAGTACCATGTCAACGACATTTCCAAGTTCGTATGGCGACTTGACGATGCCTTTGAGCGAATTTTCAGGGGCAATAACCCCGACATTAAGGACATACAAAACTGAACGTGGTTTCACACCGCCTCAAGTCCCGTAACTTCAACCGAATAAGCAACCTAGAAGGAACAGTCTATTCCAATGAGATTCCGCTTTAGTGTAACCCCTACAGTAGTAGTCTGCACTGAAAGAAGCTATCAAACTGGGGTGTTTGAGGAATACTTGTATTCCGGGTCTCGAAGAAGAAGACTCATTAGTATTAGCGACGTGATACCAAAACTGAAAATGATAAGACAAGTTCTAGAAGCAGAGGTTATAAAAAGTCAAAATCATTATAGCGCAGATAAACTCGTGATGCTGGAATATGTTTCCAATTCTGGTGAGGTTAGTGTGTTGAAGGTATTTGGTCCTAATCAAACAAGCGAGAATCCAGCAGGACTTGGCGGTCATCCTTGTTGCCGAATCATCCTCTTATAGGCAAGCTAGAATCTGTGTCTGTGTCTGTAGACTGGATCGATGGTCTTACATCACAGGCTTTGTGTGTAGTCGTCAAACAGCTTTAAAGAGTTCCGGATATGAGATAATCGGTGCTTCTATAAGCTCCGAAGAGGTTCGGAACTTAACCTCGAAATCTGTTCCAGGCCAAACACCGCTTGTTTTGGCCCCCAAGTCCGCCTCGCAACGGCCAATACCCCTGAGCTTCTCCGCCCACATAGCGGAGTGGTACTAGCGTAGTTCGGGTCCTTTCAGGGTTCTAACCAATTGCCAACATCCGAGAGGTGTCGGACCATCATTGGCTGGCCTCTTCCCCCCATTGTTCAGTCTCCGCGATGTCTCAACTGATCGTTGCCTGCTGTGAACCCTAGATGCGCGGAGTTTTGGGTTCAAATCATTCGCTCTTGCAACACTCAACGCTATCAGCCCATAACGGTTTCGGTGCTGGCCGAGCCTCAGCGGACTAGGAATAATCTCAAATTCTCTCGTAGTCTCTTTTGTTTCGACAACTGCACTTGGTCACAGTCGTTCAAGCGAGGAACAGCGGCTCTTAATTCCCACAGAATCCGGAACCGGCGACTTGCTTGCCTTTACTTCTCCAGCTTCTTTCCGCTATTTCTGCCCATGCTACATACCTGCCGGCCCACACATCCGAGTCCCCCGTCATTATCTCGCTTTTGTTGTTGCCCAAGATGGATACCCAAATCGATGCTGATGGCGCAAACAATAGCGCTACCCCCCGACAGAGGGTCACCAACGCCTGTGAAGCTTGCAGGGCTGCCAAGGTCAAGTGTCAGGCAAGTGTTCAACTTGGAATATGTCGAAGGTGCGTGTGTGTCTGGCCTGCCAACTGTGGCTAGGCAATCTTACCTCCCGAGTCGCTTCGGCGTATAAGTCGGTATGAATACTGACCATGCCGTCGGGTAATCAGATGCCTTGACTTCAAGAGGGAATGTGTTTTCCGGACAGGCCCCAGGACCCGCCGGCCAAGGCAGTCCAAGTTGTAAGTATCCTACTCTCATCTTACTATCTTATGGTGACCCTATCGTTGCCGTCACCCCTAAGGGATTTCGCTTCCGTACTTATACCACCCCAGAAACCAAGACGCACCTCCCCCGCCGCCCCCTCCAGGCCCATCTAAAACATTCAGCATCGATTTTGACATGCCTCAGCTGGACGATGGAGACGATGTCGAAAGCCTTGCTGCACGTCATGAGCGGTATCTCAAGGAGCTCCTGCCGCCCGATTCGGGGCTGGATGACATTGACATGATGTTTGCGTTTGGTGACTCCAGCAGCGCTTCGCATTCCAACATATCGTCGCCACCCTCTTCAGGACCCAGCGTCTCTGTATCTAGCTTCAGCATGAAGCCACAGTTCAACCTAGACTCTGCCGAGAAGCTGCTACAAACATTCCGCGGCATGCTGAAGAGCTTCCCATGCATTGCCCTACCGCCAGATGCCACTGTCATGTCACTTTCAAAGACCAAGCCCTTTCTTCTCCTTGCCATTTTATCCACAGCTTCCGGCTCCAGTGCATTACAGGGTCATACCCTTTATGATGAAGAGTTCCGAAAAGTTTTGGGTCTGAAGTTTGTTGCCGGCTGCGAACGAACTCTGGAACTACTCCAAGGCCTGCTCATCTACACAGCGTGGTATGTAATCTCATTTTAGTCAAACCTCAAAACCCCTAACAAACAAAGGTATCCGTTCCATCTCCGCCCGAAGAGCAAGCAGGCTTTCCAATACGTTCGTATGGCCTCCGAGATCATTCAAGACCTTGATCTCACCGAGCCATTCCCGGGCGTGACGGCCGGCTCGGTCCTTACTCCGGAGCAGATGGACGGCATTCGCGCTTACCTGTCCTGCTATTACATGACATCAGCGCACGTCCTACCATTCCTACAATACTTCCGAAAGACGTCTCTGACCGATGCCAGATTTGCGATCGGTTGGGCAAAGATGGCGGTACTTGAATACACCAGCTGGACCAGCACCTGCTGCGACCTCCTCGAGCGATGCTCCGCGCTCAGGGGTGACCACACCCTTGCATGGCTCGTCCGCCTGCAGCACGTCACTGAGGAGGCGTCCGAGCTCGCCAAGGTCAAGTTGACTTCCGAGCAAACCAAGCAACATGTCCACTTCATGTCCCTGGGCCTCGATAGTCAGTTGAGGGAGTGGCAGAGTAGAATACCTGGCAGTCTCGGCGATCTCAGTACGTTCCCTCCCCACCCCTTCTTCCAAGAATCACATCAGCTGAAACCTCAAGATACCATGACCATCGCAAACCTCTTCACCGAAATTTATCTCCTCACCGGCCCAATATTCCAAACCCGCTCAACGGCAAAGTTGGGCGACAGCGACGTCGGCCAGCCTATACCTGCCAGCCGACTCCAGAAGTGTCTCACCCTCATCCGTAGCTTCTTCGACTTCATCCTCACGCTCGATAAAGCCGCGTTCATTTCATTCGCCTCGGTGGACTGGGGCCGTTTCATTCAAACTACCATCATCGCTATCCGTCTTTCCTTTCCGCTGCCACAATGCCCTGAATGGGACCATGCGCGCGCGCGCGAGCAGTTGCAGTTCGAATCTTACCTATCTCGCCTGTCGACCAACCACGAGGAGCTGACGCCTTCAGCAAAGAACATGGACACCCTATCAGCCAGCAAAGTCGTGTTCGGGGTCATTAAGCGCAAGTACGAGGCCCGTGTGGCCAACGCCGAGGTGCCGGTGAACAAGCTGTCGAAAGACGTCCGCGGATGCCCTATGATCGACGGTAGTTTGGAACAGTACTTTCCGGTGTGGGATCAAAGCCTGAATCGTACCGGCCCGCATGGCCTGGTCCCAACAATGCCAACCGGCGCTACTACCATGGTGAACGGCCAGCCTGTGTATCATGACTTGTGGGCCACGATGACCATGAGCTGGCCGGATGGGCCTGTCGGGGATCCGTCCCAAGGGCAGAATGGGTTTGACATGGGTCAGGGGTCCGATTCTTTGCAGTTGGATCCATCGTTCCAAGCAACCTTGGGCCCTTCTCCTACCGGGAGTGGTTGAAGTTTGGGTGTTCAAACTGGCCAAGTGTGCAGTAAAAGATGGGCAACATGGATGAAAAAGTATTTAAAGACAAGACGGACTTGTCATGGCGGGGTTCTGACTATCTACGGAATAGAAAGGAACGGATAATCCGTTCAAATGGTACGGTGTTGGGATATCGTGTCTGTATCGCGACCTTGTTTTCCTTGGGGTTGGGTGGTTATTGGGCTACCAAAGCAAAGCAATAGAATACGGTGCAACAGGCTGTTTAGGGATTATCAACAATCACAAATCAACAAAATACTCATGCATTCTTTGTATTATTCTCTAAACCTCAGACTATCAATGGCCATGCCACTTCTGGTATTATGGCAGTCTTGAGCACCAACGATCGTCCTCTTAGTACCCATCATATTCAAGTCTGTCCTTCGTGTATGTAATCCCGAATCCACCATGTTGATAGGCTTGCCAAACTCTTTTATCTTGGCTCCGTCAAGGAGGAGTCGTGCAACATGCTTCTCGTTGGCCAGGATATCAAGGTGACTCATCGGAACCTTGACATACGCCAGGGAGGTGAGGCTCTCGAGATGCTTGTCTAGGTAACCCTCCGGGGTAAATGTACAAACCCGTCCGAGCGACATACAGAACTCGCAGGTCCACACGAGCTTGCGGCTGTTGTGAACGGCAACTTGCTTCGGAGTGCATGTTCTGCATGACGGCTGGCAATGCAGAGTCGAGGGGTTGTTCACTGACTTCGGCACCTTGTTAGTCAAAACGCTGTTCGAGGAACTAGTGGTCTACCTACAATGTAGCAAGAATCGCAGGAAGTCCTACCGCTGGACAATAGCCTAGGGGACCAGTAGTTGACCGTTATTTCTCGGTGCTTCATTCCGTAGAGCTTGTTCAACGCATCGATACTGCCCTCCGGGTCGACGAGTTTGGGTGGCTCCTCAATCTTCTTGGGTCCAGGGTTAGTGACGATCAATGCCTCGTGAAGCTCGGATGGCCGCATGAACTCGATGGTCACAGTATAAGGTGTCAGAGCCCAATGTTGGAACCAGGTACGCTCCGCCCAGTCAAAATTGGTCAGCGCTGCTATCCAGGCCATGACCTGAGCCCAAGGTTCATTCAAATGCTTATTGTGTTCAGAATATCCAAGGCCAAAGTATGGAAATGTGTGGTCGTGTGCGTGCTGGTATCGTCCGCATATTTCATCATTCTTCTTGTAGTCGAGTCTGAGCGCGAGGCGATTGGCTTGGGTCCAGTTATCGTAAGGGCCGACCTCTGGAACGCAAATGTACGGTGTTGGGTGCGACCCGTTGGGGTCGCATGTGATCTCAAAGACGGGAACCACGTAGTCGACGTCATCAAAATCAGCAAGTGGAAGGGTACACTTGAAGCCGTCGCGGCTTCCGTTGGGAAAGACACGAGAGCCGAGATAGCAGTACTTGACATTACGTTCCGCATCATAATACAGCTTCCGCGGCTGGCCAGTGAAAACTAAAAGATCGGTTAAGCCATTCTGTCCCGCTGAGACAGCTAGTTTTACCCATAAGTTGGACTTTCCAAAGCTGTACTTTATAAGAATATCGTAGATGAGGGAAGCCACCCTGTTATTCCACCCAATGGGAATGTCGAGATGCATTTTGCTGAAGTGAGGCGATTGTGGTCGTGGATAGGCACAGGAGGACTTTCTCCATGTTATCCGATGGGGTTGCTAGATAAGGCAAGTCCTGTCTCTAACATCTGTAACTCCTGAGGTATAAGAATTCCTTGTGTGTAGATCGAAAGCGAAGGTGGAAAGAAGGTGTTAGGCTTTCAGAAAAACAGCTGGTAGAATGGGATAGAAGAGAGGGCAGGCTCTTGATAAATTCGTCTTGCTGGCCTTTTGTGTGAGGTTCAGCGGTGAATTTGATCCCCTTTAGCATTAAAAGAAAAACAAAAATCAGAGAACCTCGGGCCTTTCACCGACCGCAAGTAAAAGAAGAAACTAGAAGGAAACGAACAGACAGGCTCTGGGCTCCTTCCAGCGGATTTCATCTTCTTTCTTAGATAAATCGACATGGAGACAACAAAATCACTCCCCCATTTGGAAAACCGTCACTTTATAGAAGTGGCATCACCCTCACTATGTATTCTTCGACTCAGTCCCAACCATAAGCTATTACCGGTATAGCGTCTCTCTCTCATCATGCACACTTTGCTGCCTGCTTTACCAATGGTGATAGGGAACCAAATATTACGACGCACACCGTACTGTAAATAGCTGTAAAACAAGTTTGACAGGAGAAAATCGACATCTTAGGAAGTCATAAAGGTAATGAGTGGTTATTTACCTGATATCATGAAGCCATGACGCATCTTGATGTTTACATTGTTTGTAATGGATCCGTCATGGAGCAGAACGACCCCTCTGCACTTTTGGATTTTTTCACTTGGAAGAAACGTAGCCTAACACAACACAAAACCCCTTTTAGCATCTTGGAGCAATTAAAAATTAACCAGTTATGGGGCAGTTGCCTGGATAACGAACTGAAATGTAGGCGTCCTTAGGACTTTATTTACAAAGCTACATTTGACCAGCCTTGCCGTCTTGTCAAAGTTACACCCTGGCATACGGCAAAATAGCAAGCTGGGGTCTAATTCTCAAAATGCCTGAAGGCATACGGCAAGTTCTCGGTAGCCAGAGCAAACAGATGAGAGCATACTATCTGAAAAAGCCGAAGAAAAGAGGAAGGACCAGAGATCCTAGAGCGTAGGGTCCAGGGGCACCGATGTTACCAGCGCCACCCGTAACGACAACGACTGGTGAGGTTCTCGTTGGGGATCTGTTGACCGAGGTAAGGGTACTGTCTTGAGCTGGGTTCGTGGGCTTGTTTGTGTTTGCGTGATCATCAGCTCCGGCTCCCGCCCGGCGGCTTGACGATGACGGAGATGACGCGCCACCAGGAGGTGTTGAAGGGGGCGAAACTCCATCAGGGCAATGCCAATGCGAGTCATGAGGAACACATCCGTGGTCGTCGTCATCGTGGTCGTGGTCGTGAGATCCAGTAGGACGGGCTGATGGCGCCGGTGCACCACCAGGGGGTGTAGTTGGCTCAGAAACTCCCGGAGGACAATGCCCTGATAAATCACTATTAGTATGAACCCTTCAAGAAGTTTGAGGATGTCTCACAATGGTCACCATGTGCGCTGCATGTCGCTGGAGGAGCAAGACTAGTTGGCTGGGGAGGGTTTCCGGGAGGCGTAGACGGCTCTTCAACTCCAGGAGGGCAATGCCAGTGATCCAAATGAGGAGTACAGGTTGCTTCTGGGGCAGGAGCCGAGGCATCAAGACCGGTTGGCTTGGAGGGGTTTCCGGGAGGCGTAGACGGCTCTTCAACTCCAGGAGGACAGTGCCCTAAAACATTCCGTTAGAATTCATACTTCAAGAATGGTATTAAGTACTTTCAGTGATCATCATGTGCCACGCAGCTGGCTGATGCAGCAGGACCAGTCGTAGTGTTTGGCTCATCGTCTGCATGGCCTGTCGGCGTTGGAACAGTCCCGGGGGGTGTAGTTGGCTCAGAAACTCCCGGAGGACAATGCCCTGGTAAGTTACTATTAGTATGAACCCTTCAAGAAGTTTGAGGATGTCTCACAATGGTCGCCGTGTGCACTACATGTCGCTGGGGGAGCAAGACTGGTTGGCTTGGGGGGATTTCCAGGAGGCGTAGATGGCTCTTCGACTCCAGGAGGGCAGTGCCAGTGATCTAAATGAGGCGTACAGGTTTCTGCTGGGGCAGGAGCCGACGTACTAACTCCAGTATCGCCGTTGCGAGTCGTTGGGCTCACCGTCGCGGCTGGTGGTTTGGTCGGTTCGCAGTGCCCTGTTATACGGTTAGTCTATGTTAGCTCGATAAAGACCTGGAATGACTTAAAGTGATCTCCATGAGGGCTGCATAGAGAGCCAGTAGGCGAAGGAGGAAGAACTGGCGTTGACAAAGTGGTGGTCACACCCACCGAAGGTGTCCCCGTTGGCTCACAGTGCCCTGTACCAAAGTTAGTATCATAGACACATGTTACAAGGCTCAGAAAGACTTAAAGTGATCTCCGTGGGGGCTGCATAGCGAGCCAGTAGGCGAAGGCGGGAGCGTTGGTGTAGCCGTCGGACAGGTAGTAAAGACGGAGAGCGACGTCACAATGCTGTATCCAGCGCTGCGGAGTGCATTGGAGTCATACACGCCGTAGCCAGTGAAACTGCCGCCTGGGAAGCTATAAAGAGAAGTGTGGACCACTACACGAGTTCCAGAAAATGAGACGCCCGAGGTAGAGTACCGGGCATTCATCGAGTCCATAAACTCAGGCAGGTTGGTGATGGTAGCTGCAACCTGGAGTTGAGTGCTTGTTCGAGTGGCACACGGTGTAGCACAATCCCAATGGTCCACATGGAAGCTTTGGAATTGTTAGCTTGTAAGTTAAAGGTATCTCTCGATGGATCGAAGCTCACGAGCAGTCGGCGCCAGTGGGTGATGGAGGAATAGATCCGCCCTGAGGCAAAGCGGCCGCAAGGCCGGCAAAAAAGAGAGCCTGGATCACTGCCATAGCTAGTATTATTGACTTGAAGCTAGATTGACTACGTGAGAGAAGAAGATTGAAAGACAATAGCAACCGAGGCGTGTGCTTTATACCCAGCCTTCTTTCCTTCTTCTCTTGCTTTCTAAGTCACCTGAAGGCTTCGATAAACCAGAATACAATGAGCTTTCCTTGTTCTATTGCCACATTTCTGACCTAGCCCTGGTCTATCGTCCAACCTGCCTGCTTCTTTGCGTATAGTACGACGCCATTCCAACCGCCCTTGCTAACCCCGGGAGGTGGGTGATGACAGGTGACAAGACTATTTCACATTCATACCATCAGCAAATCCTGCCATCACTTCAAGATCCCTACAGTGAGTATATCCTGCAGCTGACGGGTCAATATTGGTGATTTGAGGTTGGACTTTGTCGAGGACCCGGATGGCTCCAGGGGTACTCTCATGTGCCAAGCCCAAGCTACCAGCCTATCGTCAGACTTTTCATGCACTTCGAGACATATATCACTTCAGTTGGTACGAAAAATTCTCAGCAGCTCTTCATGTCTAAGTGTGCCATCCCACGCCAAGAAGGTGGGCTGTTGGGAGCTGCGAGGTCGTGGTCCCAGATCCGGAAAATGAGACCGAACTCATCCGGGTCATCGTGGCGTTTTTTTCACCACCTTCAGCATCTGGTAACGATCGATGGTAGCTTGGCCCTATCAAAAAGCCTTAGACTCGTGTTTAACCGAGCCTTCTCACTTCAAAAAGAGAACAATGCATCTTGGCACAGCAGGAACCTCTGCGGCTCGCAGAGATGTCGATTGCTTATTGCTCCAGCCTCGGTTGAAACTGAACAGCAGCCGTTCATTTTCATCATCCCATCTTTCCTATTTTGGAAGGTTGTAATCAAGGTTCTATTTCATACTGCGGGTATGATAAACGTTCCACGTGGTCTCTGGACCACTAATAAGCTTATGCTTGAAAAGCGGATCTTCTGTACAATTGCGTTTTATCTCCTTTACCATAGCTTTCTACGATACCTCTAATTGAACTTCCCATCTACTAGAGCAGAAAATGAGCCACCATAGAGGTATCTTGCGATGTTTCGTAGCATTGAAGGATGAAATTATGCAGGGATAGCTTCACGAACTAAGGCAGCTAAAGCCTAGTAACGTCCAGTGAGTTTACACCGTACGAGATGGAGAAAAGGAGAGAATCCTCAGTCATCAGCTCCTAGATTTGAAGTATAAATATCATGTCTTGCGTCTCTAGTTTTGAATCAAAGTAGCACAACATCTATCACAACAATCACAACATCCTCCTGTCTCAAGTCAAAATGGTCTCATTCAAGATCCTCCTTGCCCTCCTCCCCATGGCATTGGCCATGCCGTCTCTCCCTCCTGCTTTGAAGGAGCGCGATTGCATACCTCCCACAAACTGCGGCGGGCCTATCGACGTTTGCGAATTTTGCTGCTTCTCGGGCATTATTCCTAACAGCGCCAACTGCCACTCCCACGGCGAGACTTGCCCTGGCGGCACTGCTTACCACTGCGACGACGAACATTAAGCCTCTTCTACACATGTTTCGGCCTATTCAAGACCCGGACCGCTGGAGAAGGTTCGGAATGTTTTGGAACTCAAGATGGGATTGGTAGAGAGAAACGCAGGAAGCCTAGCAAAAGGGTTCAAGGGGGGACGAACTAAGGTCAAGCGGTGGTCTTGATGAACGATTCTCAAAACACACTCATTATATATATTTTATCACTTACATGAGCCACTCCTTAAACCAAATTCAACTCGCTGATACAAACACCTGGTATTGGCAAAGAATATAAGTGAACTGGTGAATCAAGGCGGTATTAGTTGTCCATCAACATATATGGCCTTTCCAGGTTTCCGCCACTGGGTTCAACTGAATGGTAGATCCACTCTTGTAGATAAACAGGTTATTTCTTATGTGAAAACAACAGGTAGTTCCCACTAGCTTGCATCATCATGTCACTTCGACTCTCAGTCCAAATGTAAGTCGTATGTTTATGCAGTGGCTTGAAATGTCGTTCAATTTACTACGTCGTAGGTGCCACTTATTGAAAACTATAGTCAACAGAGACCCGCTTCCGGTTTTCTTCCCTGTTCTTTTGACACCAGGTGATCCACATTTATCCGAGACTTTTCTCGGCTCGAGGAGAACGTTTTCTGGTCTTTGGCCTCAAAGCCTTTGCTATCCGTTCAGTACGGGTGGTTCTTAGCTGTCGAAGAAGAATGTTTAAAATAAAAAAAATTTCCTTGTCACAAATCATTCGCAAATTGCTTCGGAAACACTAATCAGCAGCGCTAAACTTTTTCAAAGACTAACTGAGCCCCCAGCCTGACGAGAGCATGATGCCTCGCCAGTAGTTGAAATGAAAAATAAAAATAAAAAGAAGGAAAAAAATGAAAAGGAAGGCCTTTTGGCTGGTCGATGTCTCCATACCCCTTCAAGCCATTGAAGAAATATTGGGTTCTTGTAACGCTGCGGCGATACGACCGTATTCTTAATTCTCCGCGAGCACATTGTTAGAGTACATTCTCCAGGCTATTTGCTGGAAACTACTAGCAGTTGTCTAAGATTGAAATACGAAGGCCAATGACAGCAGGTTCAATGTGAGCTGCACCCAGGTCGTGGGCAGATGATGGTACTCCAGGTGGCACAATAGCTCTCTCACCAAAGGGCATGTTCTCCGGCCCTGTTGCCAGCATGCACCTAAAAGCCGTGACCATCAACGCAGAAATTTTATCAGCTGTTTTGAACAGTTCAATCCACTTCCTTCGATGGTTAGCACTTAGCTAGGAAGGAAATCAGCTTATCTAGCCATGTCTAGTGTCCAGTTCAGAAAAGTTGATGTACCAAGCCCAGTTCGCAGCGTTGCTGAGCTGAGATGGTGTTTAAACAAATAATGACATGGCGTTGAAAAAAGGGAACACAGTGATACATCATGAGGACCGCTACAACAGTCGTATTCGTCAAACAGTTTGAGAGTCATTCTATTCATTAAAACTAATCTTCCAAAGTTAAGCCAATCCTCAGAGATAGTGTTTCATAACTATGGACTTCCAAGTCCATTCAGTAGATGTGTCCAGTTCTAAGCCCCTTTCCGGTCGTGATAGTCATGGTCGGCTAAGGGTTGTACACCATCTCGGTATCTCCCGATGCCACTGTTGACCATGAGCCAAGTGACCGCAACGAAATGTAGAAGGAATTAGCCTGTATGAGCGTATACCATCAGGCCCCCAAAAAAGTGCGTGCTTCATAACAGGCCTTAACGACGCGGGTGAAGTACTCAGCTGCCATGAGCCAGGTTAATGAGCCGCGAAAGGTTGCGCCTGAATTACCGAAAGAATCAATCATCGGGATCACACAATTGTCGAGTTTTTTCGAGGTCCCGAAGATCTAAAGAGAGATCCATCCAATAGAAAAAAAAAAGTTCAGGTTCTTGCTTCAGAGAAGAATAGGCCGAACAGCTTCCGAAGCAGCCAGCTCAAGCAGGTCGACCGAGCCGAGCGTAAACACTGTTCGGTGAAAGGCGGCCAGTGTCTGGGCCGAAGTAGGAGACCAGTTATGTTGCATGCTTACACGCATGTGCATGCAACATTGGGTGACGAGGCGTTGTCGTAAGCAGTCAGCTGGATCATTAAGATGCTGACACCCAAACCGCCGGAGACATGAGCATTTCTCGAAGGGGATATTTATGGCCGGTTTAAATAATAACAATAAAAAATAGGGTATCATGTCGACAGTGTTCATTTAGGCCTTCTTCAAGATGCGCTTGAGAAATCCTTTGCGAGATGGCGACGATTCTGTGGACATACAAGTCAGCGGGATTGTAGGCAGATTAAGGCTGTGTCAACATTCTGTCAACTTACCCTTAGCAACACTGTCGGCATCTGTCTTCTCTTTGGACAGAACGGGAACACCGTCCTTGTCAACGAGCGTTACTTCCGAAGCCATTGCTGCAGCATTTGACCTTGAGGCTTGAGCTGGCTGGGTAGGGCGACGAGGCATGGCCGAAGCGTGCATGCCTGGGATCACCATGGCTGACTCGTAGTAGTTGCCGGACATTGTGCTTGTAGTGGCGTCACGGAGGATGGCTTTGAGGTATTGGGTTTCGGTGGAACTCATGTGAACTGTTTAAAAATTTCAGGTGGATAAAAGTAGTTTTGAAGATAGCAGACTAATGTTTATGCTTGTTTGATTCACTGACGTCTTTTCAATCTGGGATATAGAAGGAGGGCTTGGCCGGCCTTTATACAACTTGCAGCCTGATTTTGAATTTATAATGCGAACGGGGGTGCCAACCCAAAGTACCATATTGACTCACAGGCCGCAAGGTACAAGCAAGCTAGATCCGACCTACACATGGCATCATATCGAAGGGCGCATGTCGTGAAGTGACTGAAAAGATGCACGATGGAGCTGGTCTGCCGTGTTAGCGTGTCGCTCTGATGAAGGTCAGACGGGGGTATCGATGCCGATGTGGATTCCTAAATGCAGTCCAACTGCAGCCACTGGATACATTGGCCAATCATGACTAGAGTCAGAAATCATACTTCACTGGAACTTGGCAGGTCAGCCCTGTAGGCCCCTTGTAAAAAAGTGATTTTCGGCCAGTCGATTGGGGTTAGACGGTCTCGAACTCAGACTTTGAATTACTAAGACAGGCGCCTGTGGAGGATCGGGTGGGGGAGCGGCTTCGGAATGGCGCTGAGCCGAAGCCGAAGACATCAAAGAAAACCGCAAGCCGAGTGCAATCGTGATGTTTCGTTTTACGAACATCCACTGCTGAGCTGTCGGCTTGAAACACAACTCCTAGATATTAACATAAACCCCTTTATCCAGAATCGGCTATATTTAACTCGGCTCAAGACTGGGGCCATTGGTTGCGCCATGGAGTCAACCGAACCGCGATTATTCCGCAAGAACGGACGGGCTCAGGCTTGTGAACCATGTCGCAAACGCAAAGTTGCATGCGATCACACGCAACCCATATGTAACAGATGCAAGAAGTCGAAGAATCCAGAATTGTGCGAATATATCGTCAATAGCACTCCAGTCCGAGAGACTCCTAGACCCAACAGACTGAGAGAGCATCGGAGAGCCAGAGAATCTAGAGCGCCTTCCTTGCCTTTGACGCTCTCCTTTCTTCCTTCACTTCCAGGCCATCCATCTGGATCAACAGCGAGAGCACCAATAACAGCCTCACCAACTACAACACCGTCAAGCGCAACAACAGGCCGTCAGCCCACATCCGTATCTGCAAGCCACCCCACCAGCCCGGAGTCAGTGGGCGCAACTCCGAGCGTGCTCGGCATCGGCTACCTGGGCTTTACGTCTTTTTGCGGCATCTATGAGGAGACTCGGCATAGCCTCAAACGACTTCAGCCCTCCGGAGCGGCACCCATCGGTGAGATCGGTACTACTAATTATTGCGGTTTAGAATGTTCTCCGCCCCTCACGCCTCAGGCTCTGGAGACATGTCTGACTGTCCTCCGTCATGTCCCAGATCGCGAAACCGGTCTGAAGCTGTTCGATAGCCATGTGAACCCGAGTGATGGCTGGATCCGGCCCGTGGCCCGGCAGATTCTTGAATCTCTCTACGAGACCTTTCCCCGCCACTTCGACAGCGCCAATCCCGCCAGTGACAGCGAACTGGAGCCTCTTGCGCGAACAATATGTGCCAACACAGCCAAATGCGTGAATGATGAAGAGACTGATGCTGAGAAGTGGGTGGCACAGCTGCTCGGCCCGAACCTACGATGGGAATCTTTTGGTGTGTTGTTTGTCTACTGGGAGTTGGCGGCCAGATATCTCGGGCCCTACCGGCCAGACGTGGGCACGCAATTCTCATCCCTGGATGAGGGAACCAAGGTCGTGTTGGGATATCGGTATTGCATCTGCGCCTGCATGGAACTGACAAAGGCCGCTGGCAGCGGGGGCAATACGCTGCTCCTTTTCATGACTTCCAAGCGGACAATCATCGAGTCATTGTTTTCCGGTGATGCAAGTAAGTGGCCCCCGTGCTCTTATGGCTTGGAATAAAGGGGGCTAGGACGAACTGATACTTACCGCCACTCGACCAGGTTTTGCATGCTGGCAATTGCATTCCGAAACGGTGGCATTATCAACGTTTCTCGGGTTTCACGACGAAGTGAGCTCAGAGCCGTATGTGCCGAACATTGGCACCGAGATTAAACGCAAAACGTTCTCCTATGTCTTCTACATGGACAAGGTATTAGCATCTTTCTCTGGCAGGCCTCCTATGATCAGCCGCAGATACGCGCGAACGCCGCCCCCCTTGGACCTAAAGGACGAGTATCTCCTTTCAGACAAGGCCACACTTGCCCGGCATGTGGCCAATCTTGATGAGAACGGGTGGAACACCGAAGGTGGCCTCTATTCTTCCACTATCGTCCGGGCCCGGGTAATGCTGGCTCACATTCGAGATGAGTTATTCGAAATTGCACTCGGCCACGGGCCGGTGACTCCGGTTGAAACGCTATTGTAGGAACAGAAATATGCTCCCAACATGTACACACCTGCTAACGAACTCACTTTAGGGACATCAAGGAAAGGCAGCTCAAAACCATTGCTAGTCTTCCAGAGATCCTCATGTTCAAGGATGAAAACATACAGGACAGAAAGCTCGAGGTTTCTGTCTTATATGTCCGTCTGGTCGTCCACCTGGAACACCTTCAAAACATGTTCTTCATCGAGCGTCTCCTCGCACGACGGGGTCACGATGACGGTACATTGTTGGCAGTAAGCTACGAAATGGTCTCCAAAACCCTCATGTTCTGGACAAATATGGATCGCCTATCGGTTATGAACGGTGATTTTGAATGGCTGGTACGTACCATCGCCTATTACTACCCGATTGACTCATCTGGGGACATTAACATGGCCAGGTAATGGCATACGCTGCGCCAGGAGGTGGCATACTCTGCCTTGAACTGCTTAAACCCACCCTCCACGGCGGCAACCATCCACAGAACCCCAAGGTGACCCGCTCCAGCATCATCCAGAAGCTCAGCCTGCTTGTCGGCTTCCTGGATTGGGTCAGCCCGACTGCTCCCAACGGTGACCTTTGCGCCGGCTGCAAGGTTGTCATTCAGCATGTCCTCGACCAGGCCCTGAACAACTCAGCGGCCGCCGCAGCGGGTGCCTCTGCCTCGGCAGACGGCGGAGTCACTCTTCCCGCCGGCTTGGATGCCATGGACTGGGACTTTTCCACGCAGTTGGACTTCAATTTCGACCTGCTTGATACCTTTGACTGGCTACGGCCGGAGGTGGGTTTGACCCAGCAGTCTTGATGGCGCTAGAACAGGCAGCCAGGGGAGAAAACACTCGGCGATGCGATTTCGGCATGACCATCCAGGGTGTCTTGTCATGGGCTGCGCCCTTCATGAATGACATCCGTGGGCCGTCGGCAGCTTTTCATGTTGGCATTGACTAGCGCCCGGTTTCGGCAATGAGTCAACCGGCGTTGTATGCCATTTCGAAAATATCAGTCACGTCCGACCCACTACAAATTCGCGGTGTTCTTGTTAGCCATCAACTTTTAGATACCCATCATAAACGAGCACAGTACGAATAGGCCAGCATACACATATTAATTGATCGGTTTTAAGAAGAATGACTTCAGTCTGGGAACGATGCAATATGATGTACACTTGGTATACAAAAAGGAAACCTTGGGCTACGATACAAAAGGATAATAATGGTCATCAAAAACATACAACACCAGGTATTCGCTGGTCGTCACCGACCCAACTACTAATCCGGCCCTCACTATTATTTTATAGATGATGCGCATACCGATTTTGTCGTGATGGTTTTGACACCCTAAACTAGAGGTCGTCGCTCCTCGAAACGGATGAGATGGATGATGGAAAATCTGACTCCTTCCGTTTTAGACGATGGGCAACTGTTTCGCCATCTATCGTAGCCACCATGAGACCTAAATCTGCAATTTACTTTGAGCAATTCGGCTCCGTACGGATACACGAACTACAACGTGTTGTCGAGCTAGATGCCAGATCTGACCACAACACATCTACCAGCTCAACAGTCTCCAAGGGCGAGCTATTCGATGTTGAGGCACAAATGGCCATGATCATCCTCTGCATAAACGAGGAATACAAGATCATCGACTAAATATTCACCGGTGTGTTCCTCATGACTCCTTGATCAAACAATAGTCGCTCCTCAGAGGACAGGTTCGCCACAGAAGTTCAGCTTCTCCATAACTTCTAAAAGCGCTAAAAGGACACAGGCAGGCGTGCTATTGCCATACACCGGAAGAATTCCAGCGCTGCCAAAGTTTTCAGCGCCGCAGGAGCTTTAGACCTGGACGGCGCCGATAGTCTCATTCACAACGGCAAGAGGGACGGTATGCTCATGGGCACAGCCATAGCGGTGGTGGAGGGCTATGAGTACCTCGGATTTATAGACGCTAACAACTATATACCCGGCTCCGTCCTCGAGTACTATAACTCTTACGCAGCATGGCTTCACCAAGCCAAGTCCGAGGATGCTATAGTGAGGATCTCACGGTAATCAAAACCGGAAGCTTGTTGCAGCCGTTCCGTGTTTAAGGGCATAGGATGATGCTCACGGGTTATAAACAAGTGGCTAAATAAGTTACTACGTGAACGTTCTGACGAGAAAACGGAAATTATTGCCACCGACAGCGCTGGCTAGCATGCCATGACCATGTCGCTGACCAAGGAGGTGAGAATGGCGGGCAGCTTTGGTGTTGAGCCGTACGAATTCATATACCTCTTTGAACAATTCGGCGATGTGGAAGAGCAGTCGGCGACGGGCTCAGGTACGGTGGAGATCTACCATATGAGACGCGAAACCCGCACCTACGTGACATTAATGGCGATGACCATGTGGTTGATATGCACTATCAGGGTCCCAATTTGCTGTACTACTCACCGATAATCTCGCCGTTGATGAAGAGAGATTTGCGAATGATGGATGCACGGCGAGGGGCTGTTAAGAAAGGTGAGGGGAGCATTGTGATGAGATGCCGCCTATGGAGCGGGTATAGTCCGCCATTGAGGAGTTCGACTTGAATCTCTTTCGTGACTCTTTGACGAAGGAGGCTGTGAGTCCTAGCAATATGGCAATATGGGCTGGTTTGTACGGCTGCTAGGTGAGGTTTTAATTGTTGAGAGGACAGTGGACCGGCGTGATCGTTTGATGATTTTTCACGTTTTATCGAGCGTTGTCTTCGACCATAGATATCAGCCACCAGTGGGCCTCCTTTATCTACGTTTAAGCCATTCTCCTTTTTAGATTAGTTCAGAAACTCATGATGCTCTCCATGGACTTATTTTCATAAGAACTCAACTGGCAGGATGAGAAGCCTCGATGCTAAGCCGTTGAGATCGATAGAATGATCTTACTATGTGCGTTTAAGTTTCTCCCCATCTTACTTAGCCTTCAGTTAAAGATGTGGTGAATAGGAAAAAAAAAAAGCGAGATGGGGTAAGCCTTTGCTGAAGACGTGTGTTCAATTCAATTCTATTGCCCTCCTGATCGCCTGACACAGAAAAAGGATAGATAGCGCGCCAAAGCGCGGAAAAGGAACTCTGCATGCTGTCTGGTGTAGGTTTCGTAAACAAACGAATGGCCGTCAATCGTAAGGCACCCCCATGAGGCATCGTGGGTCGAAATCCAAATGCGCTTGCTCTCACCTTCGCATATGAACGTGTTTGGAACGAAGGCATTCGAATTCCACTGCATTGCAAGTAGGCCTTCACAGCCCACTGGCCTTGCAGTCTTCTTGCCAACTCTTGAATGGTATTTTCTCGATTACTTTCATAGCTTCGATAAAATACATGAGAACAAGCATGCGTCTCGCTATAGACCGTGCGCAATCCAACGGAAGACGTGCCAACATTCGGAACGAGTTACTGTCTTATGAGTCCAAAGGGTCCCCGGCTTAACTACTCAGCAGTGGGTACACACTGCCTGAGGACAGGTTCCATGACTACAAGCAAAGCTGCAAAGGTGCTGGTAATCGTCGTCGATGACGCCGTCGAGAGGATATCCATCCTCGCCAGTGAGGGCCGGAGCGATCTTAGCCGTCTCGGAATATTCAAGACACTGGCATGCCGTTGGGGGACAGAATCCGTAGGTGCAGCTAAACTCGCATAGGTCCGTGAAGTTTCCACCGGGCCGGTTTGGCGATGCCGTACCCGAGATGCATACAGGGCCTGCTACAGTGGTGGTATATGGACTAGCCGTTGTAGTAGTGGCAGTGGGTGCTTCGGTGATGACCGCCCCTGCTTCCGTTGCGGTTGAGGAGACAGCCGTCGTCGATGCAGTTGCTCTGCCGGTGGCTGCTGGTTGCGGAACCCGCTCAGGCCGGAGGCAAGCGAGAGAGAGCTTGGGGGTTTGTCTCTGTGCTTCGGCAACATCGGAGCTGTATCCGAACACGGTACCAATAATGAAGGTGCGGTTAGACGCCTCATAGTACGCGGTGACGTTGCCTGTGTCTACAGAACCTGTTCCGACCATCCACGACGCCTCGCTGACTTGGTCGACGGTGAGATATTTCGCAGTGAAAGAATCTTCCAGAGCATCTGAGCCCCAAGCTGAATGGGTGAACCACCACAGTTAGAAAAGCGGCGTGGAGCAAAAGGATGGGATGCTTCCTTACCGAGAACATCCGCCCTCACCAGACCGAGAGCACCTTGACATGCCTCAGGGACCGCATCGAGCGCGAAAGCAGAGCATGCAATATCAGGGTCTTCCTGGAACCAACGTCCGGTGAGGCTGGCTTCGAGATCAGCCTTGCAGTCAGCCAGCAGGAACCCACAGCTATGGTCAATGGGCTGGGTGGGATCCGGACGAGCGCCGACAAAGAAGTGTTGACAAATGTACCAAGAAGGATCCATGGCCTTTGGGAGGCCTTGAGTGGTGTCCATCATGCCATCTGGGATACCGAACGTAATAGCAGAGGCTTCTGTGGACTGATTCTTCACGAACGTCTCCGGCCACGGCACATCGTTCGCGATGCGTAAGTGCGCACTAAAGCCGTCAACCGCAGAGCCGGGGAAGGGCTTTGTCCAGTCATATCCGGCATAGCTTGTACTGTCTGTGTGAGTCGGGTGCCCGAAGGCCGCCTCGACCTCTGTCCACGAAAGTTGAGCCACATTTGAGGCATTAGCGAGGAATTCTCGGTTGTCAAAGTAGATGTAAGATAGGGCATCTTCAGCAACGACGGCAGATACATAACCTTGATTGCTTCTCCTCCTCTCTCTGTACCTAAGAAATGAAAATACCGCATTAAAATTAGATACATGGAAACCCGTGCTTCGAAAATGCTGGCCATCGATGAGCCCAGGCAATTCATGGTCTGACTTTGTATGTAACTACTCAAAGTGAATTGCGCCAGAAAATCCACCTGCTGAAATAATACAACCTCAAATGCTGTTGGTTCTGGCACGTTTGTCCAGGATCATTAGTCCAGAGGTCGGCAGGGATGCCGCCGCCGCCCCTAGCACACCCAAGACTAATTGGGAAGCTTAATTAATTATATTTGGCTGCAGAAAAGACTTGGGTTCTGGAGCACCCTTACCAGAATCCTGGTCTCAAGCTGGATACCAGAATAATCGTTACTTCCTTCAACTCCGTTCACACCAACGAAGCTGCTTTACTTCTTAATCTTCTTTTCACGGCTGCTCTTACATCTGTGCATCTTCCTTCACATACATCTCGGAAGCGATGCGTCTTAAATACCGCTGTTCCCTGCCCCTAGGCCGCATATCTGCTTCGGTTTGCCGCCATCCCCGGAGACTGCTCCAGTCTACCGCAAAACGCGCCTCAGCTCGCCCGCCGCAGCAGTTATCTGCACGCACCATCGACTCTAGCCAATTGTTGTCCCCAGATCCAAGAGCACTCAGGAACGAGCGTACAGATTCATTCGTCCCGGAGTATCTTAGTGATTCGATTCAGAAGATAAAGGACCTTGCCGCTGCTATTGAAGGAAAACATCTGCCTGACGAGTTACATGGGGGTGTCTGGCCGACAGATGACAGAGTCCGCTGCGCTGTCAAAGGCATCCGCCATCATGTCGAGTTCGCCAAGTCCATCGAGGTGGCTCAGCTTTGCTCTAGCTCTCGCCGGAACGGCGAAGTATTCTCGAGAGCACGCAACGCCCGCCTCATCATGAGTAACACCATACCCGAGATGGTTTCCGAAAACACCAAGCCGTATTGCATTTGGCATCCTGACCTCGCGACTGAAGGGACCTATCGAGAGCTCGCCCACCGGTATCCCGATATGCGCTACCATGTCGGGCGCGCCTGTGCTGTCGCTGGTTATACTCAATTATACCATGAACTTAACCTCTTACCGGACGTTTCCATCGCGGAAGAGGCTAGGGACAACAATTCTACTGCGATATTCGAGTCAATCATGGGAAATCAAGTCAAGTATGCGGTGATGGACGACTACAGGCGACTGGTTCACCTCGAGAGCCCAACAGCCGGGGCATTCCTCAATTGCGACACAGCTGTCCGTTCGTCTCTTGATTTTCACCGAACTCTTGGGGACGAAGAAGCGAATGAATATTACGAGCATTACTTCGACATTCAAGAAGATGGGCATATCAGCACCAAATGGTCTCCAAAACTTGGCTCCAGTCGAATCGACGACAAGTTCGCTGGCTTGCTTTACGCGCCACTGCCGAGAGACCTACCCAACATAAATAAGGACATACTCATTCTTGCTGCCGCTTGGGATGGTAATATCGATCGTTATGCGCGGCTGCGACGCCCCAAGTATGTCAATGGAGAAATCTCCGCCGTCATGCGCGGCGCTCAGCATCACACCGCTTTCGCCAGGTGGCTTGATACCTGCGTGGAGGATTTGTTTGACCAAGACGGTGTCGAGTTCTTCAGAAAAGCCATCAATGCTCGCTTCATCATGAACAATGATTTGTCGCGCATAACGCCTGAGACTGATGGGGAAATACTGCCAGAGATGTTCTGGTGGCCACAGCGGCCACATGAAGATACTGTGAGGGAGCTGGCCTGGCGACGTCCCGACCTAAAACATCAATGTGCCATTGCTTGCATCGTGTGTAACTACCGCAGTCTTTTCGACGAACTACAGGTCCTGCCTTCTCGTTCGCAATGGAATGCGGCCTGCCAGAGCCCGAATCCATGGTACAGAAATGATATCGAGAAACGCGCGAAGGCTGCCGGCATTGACATTGGAGTAAAGCATGTAAGCTTGATCGAAGGGATTCCCCCAGATGGTATCTGGACTCCGAGATTTCTCCGGTGGGATAAGGAGCCGTCCGGAGATGCAGAGATGCCCGAGATGCTTGAGTGCAACGCCGAGAGAAGGTCCGACAGCATGTACAGTTTTGAGGAGGAGTTTGAAATGGGTGGGTTCTTCAACGACCACATGCAGCAGCAAATGGCGGCGTGGAGTACCTACTTAAGCGCCACGGACGAGGCGAGAAAAACCATGCTTCCAGGTCCCATGTACTCTCATCGCGAGGCTGTGAATCGGCGTCAAGGGACACCACCAACACCAAGAAAGCCGTTTGTCAAGGAATTCGATGACTTGCCCTAGACAGTGACTTCAGTCAGACTCGTCGTGGCATAGTCATCCAAGGAAAAAAAGAAGTGAAAGGACGAAAGGGTCGAAAGTGTCGAGCTACATTTCTAGACAACATCCCAGTACATCAAATGGCGACCACCGCAACTTAAGTGGCCTGATCCTCGTTTGAAGCGTGTTGGCTCTCCTGTAAGTATCAAAGTCAGGGCCAGAGCTAGAACGAGAGTCGAGATTGGTGCCAGGACAAGGATCAGGACTGGCGCTGGTCATAATGTAGTAGCTCCAAATGTGTATTGAATGTGTAGCCTGCTCTGTAGTTGCTTTAACCCGAACCAAAACCGCAGCTGGAGGTGAAATCTGCTTCCGTGTGGATTCTGTCAGGGTCGGTATAACGCTTTAGGGATGGCAGTCCTGACCAAACAGCCTGTCATATTCGCGTTGCATAAGCGGCTACGTGTGAGGCTGCTCCCGCGAACCTTTCCCACACATTCCTCGTAAACTAGCTGCGCACGCAGAAAGTGGACGGAAGTAAAGACGCGTGCGTAGGAATCTGCTCAAGCAGTACTACATATCATGGGAGCTCTCACGTTCCCTGCCAGTCACCTGTCCTTGTCCAGGTCTTCCGATCGCGCTTGTCATAATCACGTCCACTTGCCGTCCGTTCGCGTGATTGTCACTTATTTGCGGGATGTTCCCACTTGGGCCAGGATCTGTATAGACAGCAATCGAGGGCTTGGCTACATACCTCGGCGTTCTAGGGACAGAGAAGGTACGCAGAGGCGCGGTGGCCCAGCGCTGCCCCCCCTTCTTTCCATACTGAACCATGCCGAACCATGCCTCGCTGGATGTGGAGCATGACGAAGTAGCAGCGATGCAAAAAAAGGCGTCAGCGAAGCGATGTCGAGAAGGCCTGGGAGAAAGATGGTGGGGGCGTGAGAGGGGCGGGGGCGCAGCCGGGCTACCGTTTGGCCTACTAATTCAACGGGGGGAAACCCGCTCTTCTAGATGAGCCGGGCACTCACTGGCTTATATATAGGAGAGCGGCCGGGATCCCAAGTTCTCCCGTGAGTATGGTCGTATGTGGTCTTTTGCACAAGATAGGTGGTATATTGAGGTACTGCTTAGCTCGGCCGTGAGCCTCGGTTTATTCTGCTCGGATGCGAGCAAACCTGGTCATGATACTCATGTGTATGACACGTCAATACTCTACAGCTGTTTCAAGAATGAATACCGTGAAAAGTCCGCTCCTTGTTAACCAAGCCTAGCTGTTGTGAAAGACCAAGATCGACCGGAAATGTCATTGTTTTCAAAACTCATCGAGTCAGAAACACATGTGGATATATTCTTCTTGAACCTTTTTAAGGAGGGGCTATTGAAAATCCTGCAATTCCCATAATGAATACGTTCAGGCGGCGTGGACAGCCTGGAGACGACTGGAGCTCTGGTCGCCGAGCTCTACGTTCTAGCTGTCGTGAAAGCTCAGTGCCCTCGCATCAGCCTTGTCTTTTTACAAAAGAAATGATACTGAATCGGCCAACTTCATACATTTCCGGAGTTTCTTGTTGTACGGGACTTCACACTGGGGTTCATTGAGATGCTTCTGCTGCCTGCTTTAAGTCGCCGACGAAGCTTGATAAGAGGCTCTGAGCGGAAAGATTTCGAGGCCTCATTCATTGTCTAGTGTTCATATAAGCATACATGTGTGAGATGGTCGGATGTATTGTTAGTCTCTGGGTGGATTCCCTCACCTGGGCTGACGGCCTAATGTTCCTTGGTTATTCCTTGATATTATTTTGGACCGGCAACACCGAACGAATATGCAGACAACAAAAATAGTGGAAGTAACAGACACCTATAAAACAGATCATACGTAGGTTTAAGCACGTAACAGTCTCATAGCCTGGTAATGCACGCGATAAAGGGTACGAGCCCACCCGAGACAACTCCCGCCGCACATTCTTCTGGGATAAGGACCGCTTCGAGGTCACCGACGACGACAACTACGCGAAGCGTGTTTTCTTCAGCAATCCCCAGCCGCCGTTCGCCGCGAAAGCCCAGACAGCCCCTTTCCTTTACAATCGGCCTGTCTGCGCCAGACGTTGGTCCCCAGCGATCGTTCCCCATTCAGAAGACTCGGACGACGAGCTTACAGACAACGATATCCTCTCCGAACCAGAGACTAAGGACGATATAAGCTAATGAGATCGTCATGGGCGTTTCACCACCCCTCGCGCCCCGAGGCAGAACCCAGCTAACCCCCTCGGAAATCAGGGTGGCAGCACCGTCAAGAGCGTTAGATTCGCCGACCGTACTGTCGTGGATTTAACGAAAGAACCACAGCCGATCCGAGTGCTGGACGGTATGTACCAGTCACTGGACCGAGTTGACGCAGGCGGATTCAACCCCGGAGACGCCCTCGTCGCCATGCAATTTCTCAAGGAACAGCAACCGAACGCTGTCGAAGATCTCACAAAGATGATCAAGGCTACCAAGATCGCTGATACCCCCGAGAAATGGGCCGCTAGTCTCCTGGAGGGTTCTAACGATGTCAACTCACCTTCACCTAGTGAGGAAGAGGAATCAAATGGGGTATCAGGGTGTCCATCAAAAACAATGCATCCTATTCTAGTCCATATCCTGTAAGCTGTTGTAAGTGTACTGCCTCCCCGGCTTAAGTTCCTTCCCTTTAGAAAGTGATATCCATATCAGAATTTCAGAGTTAGCGGAAGAGGAAGTGGAAGTGGCCTTCACAATGATATATAATGTTGATAACACTCTCGCAGTGGAACAAATGTTTACACATACAGACATGGGCAAATGACTTGAACGATGAGCCGCACTACTTCTAGCAAACAAGCTGTTTCTTTCGTTTACATACTCGGAGAAAAGTTTCTATTCACTTAACAGGCTTCTAGTACCTGTATCCAAAGAGATGTTTAATGTTATATCTCAAGTGAGAGAGGCTGTAATTGGGTCAGTTCTAGCTTGTCGCACCCGACCATTTGTGTATTACACGTTCAACGTGTTGATTTCGGCGTACCATATAACGTCACACATCTTACATACCTAAGTAGAACCCTTACAATAGTTGATGCTCCTCAGATTAGGTTCAGCGAGCCGTGATTACCAAACGTCTCGACCGAAGTTCTCATCATAAGTAGCCGGGTCAGGGTTGTTCCGTTTGGGCAAATAAATGCGAGTTTACCGTGGTCAAGACGCAAGAATCAATGCCGCTGCTGCCGCCATCATCATTTTCAAGTCTCCGATTAATACAATCGCCAACGCCCTTACCCGCAACACACACACAGAACAACCGCCGCCTCCTCTTGGTACCGTCAATGACACAAGAGCCGCATCATGACGTCCATGTACGGTTTGTGAAGTCGTTGCCACTCGGTAGGCTCACGCCGCCACCATCCCATATGTAGTCTCGAAGCCGAATAGCCTTGTAAACCTGCTATAATAACACCCCTATTCCTGCAGCAAACCAAAGACGGAGATTCTCCCGGCGCCCAATTACCAGATACACAAACAAGCCCGCTGGGCCATGTCGCACGCTTATCGAGTCGCCGATACAGACGTAGCTTCAACTTCGTCACTATGGTCGCACAACGCCTCGGTGGAGAGCCCTGTCTATGAGAACTGCGTATTTATACCTGGCCAAACCAAGAATCCATCCATCTTGACACATATTTCACAGAAGAAATGACGAAGGCGCGAAACTGTCTTGGGGACTTTTTTTCTTTTCTGCATCTACGGGCCAAGCGAAACACCGATAAGCCACGTCCAGCGGACACAGGTGGAGAACTTGTCGCGATGTCTAAGACTTGCGGTTGGAACAGAACACTCCCACTGAGCGCCGGGTGTATTGAGTCAGGAGTCGAGGACGATTCCGAGTGGCTAAAAGATACTATTTAGGCAAGCACCACAAGACCAAGAAACCGAGATGCGGGTTCAGACTATGTTTCTGAGTAGAGCACATGTGACCGGATTCTAAGAGGTCAAGAGATCCAGACTCTCGGAACTGACCGAATGTGCAGAGACAGGCGTGCAGACACACGATACACAATCTACAGACATGCGGTGCCGACAGCGGCAACACGTACGGCAACTTTGCCAGGCGCATATTCACATCTTGCCACGACAAGCCCCTTCGCACGGAGGCGATCAGAGCAGATATCAGGATGAGATGGCAGCTGCTGACGCACAGGCTAGCCTCGTCGGAAAGAACACCCTCGCCGTCCGAGCGGACTTTACATCAGTAGATCCCGCAAGCGCTAGCAGAACATGAGATGGTGTTTTAAGAGTTTTAAATCTACTATTCGTGCCTTCATTTTTGGCACTGGATTATGCGGTAGACGGGTAATTGGAGCTAAGGCTGCGCCCAACAAGTTGGGCTGATAGACCTAGGCTCATGTTGAAGCCAGCTTACCAACCTGCCACGAGATCGGCGACAAAAAGCAACGAAGTGCTGAGTAGAGAAAAGAAGGTTACAAAAGGAAGAATCTGAAGCAGGCTGAAAGATAAGGGGAAAGAAGCAACAGGATGAAGCTGGCTGGATTCAACCACTGGCTGCTCCTTGGAGTTGCGGGAGGGGGCATATTCCAAAGGAAAGTGTCGTTCCCGTCTGTCTGCAGCCACCTTCTCTTTGCTTATTGGGAAATGACTAGGCTCGTGGCGACGTAACGGGATTTGAGTGGACGAGATTTTTACTAGTCTGGTAGAGCCTGAACGATTCATGAGACGGCAAGACTGAAGGAATCTCATGACCACGGCCAGACATGATTCGACGCATTGCCACCCAGAAGGAAGACATCGTCAATGCCTGGATTCTCTCAACATCCGGCATACTCAAAACTTTGGCTGGCCCGAGATGAGCAACGGGGCACCATGGCTGCCGAGAGGAGACCCCGGTTAAAGCAGGCTGGTGTCAGGCAACAAGCAACGTATCAACTACCCGATAGGCGGCTGTCGACTGTGGCTCAAGTTTGAAACAACTCCCATAATGTCCGAAGGGACGCAGCCGACATTGCTATTGATGATTTTCCCGAATATCTAAGGAAGCGGCCGAATCGGAGCCACCTCCGCACCCCAACAGGGGCAGTAGGCTCATGGAACCGCGCTTCTGACGGTGATCACGATGTCTTGACCAAGCGGTGTACGCTGAAGACAAAATCATCAGTGACGTTAGAGTGCTGCGGGTGACATACAGCAGCGCCCCTCGTTCCATGGTTCAGAGCTTACATGCTTCGTCCTGGAAACGTGGCGCGTACGGGATCCTCGGTCCACAACCAAGCAAGTTGCGCCTCGCAACCTCATTTGCTTCGAAGAACGGCAGAGCTCACAAGGTTAGAGGTCGTCGATATCTTGCTACCATGGGCGATGTGGTCAGCAGACACCGCCCTAGGATCACTCCCACTGAGCAATTATAACCGGGACCAACGATAACCAATGAAGCCGAATCCGCAATGAGCCGAATCACTGGTACGCCGTGCCATGTTAGCGTGGTCATTGTTACGGTGTGGTGGAAAGAGGCAAGTTGTCAAAGCTCCCTGCCTGGTACCTGCTTTAAGACGTCACCTTTGGGGGCTCAAGAAGACGGTGCGGTACAGGGTAGGACATCTGCGGATGTTTGAGCCCGGCCCAGGGATTGGTTTTCTCGCATAACGGCTTCTCGCTAAAGGTGTTGCGACTCAAACACAAAACTCCGTCGAGAACAAGGTACCCGCTGTCCGGAGAATTTGGGCCGTCCTGGTCGGATCTAAACCATCTTATTGGGAACCACAGATTGACGACGATGCTCCTTCGAACCAGCCTCACTGATATTTTGGAACGCGTCGGCCCTACCCCAGGTTCCGTGTGGCTGATACGCTTGTCCGTACACCGGCAAGGGGAACCAGATCGTCTGTCGGATCCCAGCGGACAACTTCAGCAACTTGAACTCGAAATCGAAAGACGGACCAAACACGTTGTCATACCCTACATTTTCCATAAAAAGAACCCGAGCTTTGAAGCAAGCATTCTTGGACTCCCCACATTAGCGCACTGGAGCAGGGATGTCATGCACTATTCATATATGCTTTGTTGGACGGTTGCGTGCGGATTGGACAACAGTTGCTGTGCAGATTTGCAGATCATCCATGGAGACCTCCTCTTTACACAGCCGAATCGCACATCCACTAGCTCTAGGCCGGGCTGCTGCAGTCATTTACTCCATACTAGTTAGCTATCGGCAGTTATCGAACCATCGTTGAAGGAGCGATACTGGGCAGGAAAAGCTGGACTCATAAGAGGCGCTGAAACTCCCAGAGATGTCTAAGACTACAACGAGAGCTTTACGGAGGGATGTTCCGGTATCGCAGGCTAAAAAAATACTCTTTTCCAATTGGGCATCGAGCTGTAATTGACTTTGAGACATGGTTGCATTTGCGCTTGCGATGTGCGGCGAAACTGGCATTACTGGTCTGCAGAGCTCAGGAGGCGAGTGGGTGTCTTTGTTTATCATCTGATGTCCATCCAGGCTTGCAGAGTGTTGTAATACAGATTAATGAGTGATGTGACATCCGGCCAATGACCACGGTCGAAGGGCCATTCTTGCGCTATTTAATATGCTGAGAGGAATACCCAAGTACGGCGCGAAGGTAGATCCGAACATACCGTGCAGGCCGGGGAGGCGGCGTACATTCTTATTATGTGGGAGGGCATAACGCATGTGTCGGGAAGACACTCATTGTACCTAACCCGTACGTTTATACTCGTATTGCGATATCTTGAACGGTTGGCCGCCTACGAGGCGCTGATCGCAGCCACTCTCCCCCGCGATGTCTCGTTGCTGCCGTTTCTTGCTATCCAAACAACCCAACAGGTTTTTGATAACGGCCCCCGCTTTGATTTGAAGGTGCGAATGCACATGTCTAGGCTAGGTAGCTCGTGGCGTCGTCTCCGAAGAAGCCGCCCGTGTTTGGACCTTGAGAAATCTTAGGGGCACAGCTAATCCGTAATATAGACTGGGATCCATGATTGTGGCGCGGTAGGTTGCCTTGAAAAGGGTACGTACATTGCTACTGGGTAGCATCCAGTGCGTCATCCATCGGCGAAGCATGGTCGTTTATTCTTTTTAAATAAAGATGAACCAGGGGCCCGTCCTCTCAAAAACGAGTTCGCGTCCCGTTATTTGCGGGCTGCTTTCGGGAGAGGTGGAGAGAAAGCAGGGAGGGAGATTGTTCTGGGCTTTCTGGATTATATGTTTTTTTAAGAATACTTGGTTACCCTGTAGACCATTGAGCTGTTAGGACTCGATGCTGAGGGCATGCCAATGGCAGTGGGCATGAAAGATTCAAGGGAAGCTTTTTGTCGCGAAGAAGAAAGCTGCGTGGACATTAACAAGATTCAAATGACTATTCCTTGGCTTACCACGGGAGTTGGGCTTAGGATTTAGACGTGTTAAAAAAAAAAAAAAAAAAAAAAAAAAGGAGCTGTGGACTTGAGCTGAGCCCCTGAATTTCAATCTGCTCATCGTTGTGCTCATCGACCTTTAGCGTCTTGTCTGTCTCTCAAAAAAAAAAAAAAAAAAAAACCAGACCCAACCGCCGCTTGGGTCTAGACGAAGAGTGGCACAGGATTTTATCGATGCAGGATGACGATTCTCTGATGGCAATACCAGTCTATGGCATGGATTCAACAGCAGCTGAATGTCGCTACTAGGGACACGGGTGGCTTGGCCAGGCTCTGTTGCTAGGTGTCAGCGGATGGCAGTCCAGGGGCCACGCCAGGGGTCATATCAAGCTGTGTCTAAGTTTGGTACTAAGGCAGCACTCTGCAGGGATTCGCGGCACACCTTCTCAAGCACCACACCACAACTTGGCATCTTGGATGGTCTTTTGCTAATTTCCCTTCCAAGGTCATGCAGCAGCAGCACAAGGGCGAGCAAAAACGCCGATATCCAGTGCTGCTGCTTTGAGCCTCGGTGCCTGCATGTAAAGCCTGCTATCAGGAGATGATTTAAAGCAACGCAAGAAGCAAACGTGGCTCAGGCCGTCACGTTCTTGACCTAGAACAACAACCGAGCCGACCAAGGTTCTTTGTGTCCAGATGCAGCAATAGTTAATGCAGGGGACTTCGGAGAACTTGGATTTACAATACCCCAGCCGGGCTCGTCGGGTTGACAAACAGGGCGCTGATTGACCTTTTGCCCCAGGTCCGGTTCACTTTTCTGTCTAACCTAGTTGTTGCTCGCTGTAATTCCGATCCGGGCGAGTGATGAAAGCCTGGTTTGCGAGCTTGCTTGGTGGATGGTACAACAAAAACAGTTAACAGTGGAAGCATTTCTGGAGGCTTTGCAGTCCGCTGCAGGGCAATTGGTTCCCCTATCTAAGCAGAGCAGCGTCGAACTGCACCGTACCTTGCACAACCCAAGGCGCGCCTTGGCAGCATTCCAGATGTTGGTGGGTAAGAAGAGAACAGTAGTAATGATTCAACAAGAGTTTCCATCGCCCGGTTTGGGAATTGGAGTTGGTAGTATCGCTGTTCGCGCTCCTCAATGTTCGGAGTAAAAAACGATATGGGAATGTGGGAATGTGGGAAGGCCCCAAGGGTGCCGACTTGGGGCACCACTTTTGAATTGCAAGGGGTGGAGCAGGCTTAAAGTGAGTGGTACACATGGGTATTGGGGGATGGACGATCGAAGATCCAATAATGCTGATGCAGCCGAGTTCTGATTCTGGACTTAGGCAGGATGCTAATCTAGTGAGTGATCCTTCTCCGGAAGGACAGAGTCGCATGTTCGCCAGCCGAGGGTGGACCAAGATGATGAGATAATGTCATAAGGAGACGATATTCCGGAGTTGTGGGGTTGTCTGGGAAGAGGGAATTGGACATGATTTGTGTCTTGGCTCATGATCCACGGGGCCTGGTATCTTAGCAACAGCATCCTGTCCAACTATTATCTGTAGCAGACGGTTGGGTTAGTGCCAACAGGAGAGAAGAGCAGGAATGCAATTAGCGATGGCGTATGGCCCCGATATAATGAGCAATACGTTGCTCTGCTTGTCTGTACGGAGAAGATTGGAGGGGTTTCCGTCATCTCTGGCTTTCGTCACAGTATCGACTCGGTCGCAGGTTTGTGGCCGACTTTTGGGTCTTGATTATCCACCTAATGTGCATCTATGTGGCAGCCTTGGCAGTTTTCCGGGCCTGGGCATGGAAGCGGGCGGTAGATAGGTAGGATGGGGATTGGGGATGGGGTTGGGTCCACTGACGAAAGCCC